CCCCCAGGTTAAGAAGAAGAATAAGAACCACTGCTCTAAGAGAGAGAGAGAGGGGGGGGGTCACGATCGGGTACGCCCGATGCGCAGTGAAACTACTTTTGTAAAAACGCATCCCGACGAAGAACGCGCGCGGAACGCGACGCAACTGTGACCCAGAGCTCGCAAACGGGTTTTGATTCCTTACCCGTACCCGGCCGCACCAAGGTAGCCGGGTATCGGGTAGGGTACGGGTATCGGTTACCCGGTTGCGACCTTTGCTGTGAGCCCCGCTCGAGGAAAGCGACGAAACTTCCACAACAGCAGCCGCGTCTCGACTGTTGTTGCTTCGGCGTTGTCTCCGTTCGGCTGGGTGGAGCTGGGTGGAGCTGGGTGGAGCCGACCGGGCTTGGATCTGCGCATCGTGAGATATCTCGAGGAGGCAACGCCACCAATCCCCTCCACCACGACCACCACCACCCCGACTTACACCCCCCCACACACCAACCCGCTCGCTCCACACACACCCCCACCCCCACCACCAGTGTTATTTCAACACGTCCTGTGTGCCAGCGAAATGAGTTGGTGGGGGTGCTAAGGAGCCGGGGGAACGAGGGGATGTTGAGTGTGTGTGTGTGTGAGCGTGCGTGAGTGTGTGTGTGTAAGTGTGTGAGAGCGTGTGTGAGTATGAGAGTGTGTGAGTGTGTATGAGAGTGTGTGTGAATGTGAGTGTGTGTGTGAGAGTGTGTGTGAGTGTGTATGTATGAGAATGTGAGTGTGTGTGTGAGCGTGCGTGAGTGAGTGTGTGTAAGTGTGTGAGCGTGTGTGAGTGTGTATGAGAGTGTGTGAGTGTGTATGAGAGTGTGTGAGTGTGTATGGGAGTGTGAGTGTGTGTGTGAGTGTGTATGAGAGTGTGTGAGAATGTGTGAGTGTGTGTGAGAGTGTTTCAGTGTGTATGAGAGTGTGTAAGTGTGTGAGTGTGTGAGCGTGTGTGAGAGTGTGTGAGTGTGTATGAGAGTGTGAATGTGTGTGTGTATGAGAGTGTGTGTGTGAGTGTGTATGAGAGTGTGTGTGTGTGAGTGTGTATGAGAGTGTGTGTGTGAGTGTGTATGAGAGTGAGTGTGTGAGTGTGTATGAGAGTGTGATGTGTGAGTGTGTATGAGAGTGAGTGTGTGAGTGTGTATGAGAGTGTGAATGTGTGTGTGTATGAGAGTGTGTGTGTGAGTGTGTATGAGAGTGTGTGTGTGAGTGTGTATGAGAGTGAGTGTGTGAGTGTGTATGAGAGTGTGAATGTGTGTGTGTGTATGAGAGTGTGTGTATGAGAGTGTGAGTGTGTATTAGAGTGTGTGAATGTGTGTGTGTGTGATCCGGCAAAAACAACCTCCTACGTCCTCGTGGTGCGGACGGCAGCGCTGCGGTGGGCAGTGCCGTGGGGGGAGGCCCAACTGAGATTGGCCATTGCCCTCGTGGCGTCTGTAGCCACCACAGCAGAGGTCGCAAACGGGTTTTGATTCCTTACCCGTACCCGGCCGCACCAGGGTCCCTACCCGTACCCGTACCCTACCCGAAATGAGTGACAAATGGTTACTCACCAGTGACTCACGGCCTATCCGTACCCGTACCCGGCCGCACCAGGGTCGCAAACGGCTACCTGTACACGTACCCGGCACGGGTAGCCGGGTATCGGGTAGGGTACGGGTATCGGGTACCCGATTGCGACCTCTGCACCACAGCGGCCAATTGGGGACTCTGGACGGGTACGAGGGGCTGGTGACCCCTCCACCTTCAATTAATTACCACGCGCTGCGCTACGAACCCGGCGAGCCGAGTTCGATTCCCGCTCACCGGTGACGATTGTCTGAACCGGTTCTGGGCCTTCCCTAGGTCTACTCAGCCTCAAATGAGTATCTGGTGCAATGTGTAAACATTGCCACTGGGGAGACAAAGGCGGCCGGGCGTTGAGCTGGGCACCCACCCCCTCGTGTGCCGTATCAGCCTTGATAGAGGTACTCGCTAACAGCACTTGTCCCTACAGTCTGTAAAGCCTACATGATAAAGGGGGTGGGCTCGGATGTTGGCCGTGAGCGGAAATTGAAATCTGGTCGTCGTTGTATTTGTAGCGCACCGTCAACCACCACCACACCGCCACCACCACCACACCACCACCACTACACCACCGCCACCACACCACCACCACACCGCCACCACCACCACACTGCCACCACCACCACCACCACACCACCACACTGCCACCACCACCACACTGCCACCACCACCACCACACCACCACCACCACACCACCACCACCACCACCACACCGCCACCACCACACCACCACCACACCACCACACCGCCACCACCACCACCACACCACCACCACCACACCGCCACACCGCCACCACCCCACCACACCACCACCACACCACCACACCGCCACCACCACCACCACACCACCACCACACCGCCACCACCACCACACCGCCACCACCACCACCACACCGCCACCACCACCACACCGCCACCACCACCACACCGCCACCACCACCACCACACCACCACCACACCACCACACCGCCACCACCACCACACTGCCACCACCACCGCCACACCACCACCACACCACCACACCGCCACCACCACCACACTGCCACCACCACCACCACACCGCCACCACCACCACCACACCGCCACCACCACACCACCACCACACTGCCACCACCACCCCACCACCACACCACCACACCGCCACCACCACCACACTGCCACCACCACCACCACACCACCACCACACCACCACACCGCCACCACCGCCGCACTACCACCACCACCGCCACACCGCCACCACCACTACCGCACTGCCGCCACCACCGCCACACCACCACCACACTGCCACCACCACCACCACACCACCACCACACCACCACACCGCCACCACCACCACACTGCCACCACCACCACCACACCACCACCACACCACCACACCGCCACCACCACCACACTGCCACCACCACCACCACACCGCCACCACCACCACCACACCGCCACCACACCGCCACCACCACCACCACCACCACCACCACCACCACCACACCGCCACCACCACCACCACACCACCACCACACCACCACCACACCACCACCACACTACCGCCACACCACCACACCACCAACCACCACACCACCAACCACTACACCACCAACCACTACACCACCGGCACACCACCGCCACACCACCACCACACTACCGCTCCCCGTGTACACGCACACACACGCACTTACGCAGGACACACACGCGGACGCAGTGTCGGTATCTCGACAGAGAATGTCCATCGGGATCGCATCTCGACCTTGAAAGCTTCTGCTAAGTGATTACAAACCCAGAAGGGGTACGGCTGTCTTATAGTGCACGGGAAGTGAAGGCGCAGCCCTGCAATTGCCCGCTCACGCCACTGCTGGCAGAAGGGCATCCACTGGAGGGAGCTCGAGGGAGACAGGGCCGCACGTGTACACTCACACGATTTCGATTTAAAGCTTTCGTGACTGCAGGGATTCATCTTCTTGGTTCTTTCGGTAAAGTCACGTAGAAGGGAAGTAATAAAGTAATAAAAATAAAACATTCTAAAATAATTCTCACGACGCTATTTTATTACTTCCCTTCTACGTGACTTTACCGAAAGAACCAATAAGACACTCACACGATGTGCACACGCATACACACAGGCAAAGATCCCCCATATAGCCTTCAGCAGACTGCTGTGCACACGCATACACACAGGCAAAGATCCCCCATATAGGCTTCAGCAGACTGCTGGGGCAAGTGCTGCTGGCCAGGATAGCACTCACAAAAGATGCGTGTGATCAGCACCACTTCGTTGTCTCCCTGCGAGCACCTGGGGCTCACTTGAGGCTGAGTCGACCTAGGGGAGGCCGAGGACCGGTTCAGATAGTTGTCACCAGTGTAGGTGGCCGTGAGCGGGAATCGAACTCGGGTCGCCCGAAGAATGGCCATCAGAAATGTCCGTGCGGTGAGACCTCGTTGTGAGGATGTGTAACACAAGGCCAGCCGGCCCAGTCACGATCGATCGAGTCACCAACAGCGCTGTAATAATAACACGGCGCAGGATGCTCCGGTATTGATATTTTTACATCCACGCGTCGTCGGGTAGGTTTGATTTTCTGTCTGCCTGTTCTATTCTTCCGGCGAACGCACGCGGCAACACTGGGATCCCCTAATGCAGTGGCTCTTAACCTTTCGTGCAGCCTTGACCCCCTCTCTGGTTCTCACATCGTTAAACAATGTGCAATGTTCATCAACGCACATAATGCTTGTGGTCAAAATGCAAACAAGAAACGTACTCTGATAATATATGAATTGTCTTTGAAACTGATTGGTCCACACCAGAGACAGCTTTCTTTTGAGCCTCGTCTCAAACGGTGTTAGACCAGAGGACGCCAAAAGGCGTACAGCACAAAGACAATGCCGCTATCAGATTAATGCGAGCTCGGGGTGAGCATCTACATCATGGGACCTCCTTTGCCAGTGCCAAAATATGATAATAGGGTTTTCCCCTTTTTTCTGGCAACAAAATTGTCTTTGGACTGTACGCCGTTTGATGTCACCTTTGAGACGAGGCTCAAAAGAAAGCCGTCTCTGTTGGGACCAATCAGTTTCAAGGACAATGCATTTATTATCAGAGTATGTTTCTTGTTTGCTTTCTGACCACAAGTATTGTGGTTAATGCAGACATGATTCATTTGGCTGCTGCTATAAATGTACACGTGGTGAGCCAGCTCAGTGGACTTTACCTGGCCAAATAACAATAGTTAGTTCGTTAATTAAAAGCATGACTGCTTTAGCACACCGGTGTCTGGAGCTGAGTGTACGACCCCATGTACATTCATGTAATCCAACCCAAAAAAAAACCCGTTGAAATCATGAACGTGTATCGCTCGCGAAAGGCACCACGTGTTAATTTAATTCATTAAAAGAAAAAAAAAAACTAAAGTGGGAACCTTTCTCCACAGACGCGCCACGGGTGCAGGGCAAGAAGGCCGTCTTCCCCCAGAGCCCCGTGTCCTTCATGAGCCTGGGCGACCCCGGCATCCTGCCGACGCGCCTCTCCTCCGTCGCCCTGTGCGCCAGCGTGCGCATCGCCGGCCCGGCCGACTGGACGCTCTTCACCTACTGCTCGCCGCAGTCGCACGGCGGGGCCACCTCGCCCTCCCTGGGCCTCGCGGGCAACCGCACGGCGCTGGCGTTCTGGCTCGGAGGACGCGCCACCTGGGTCCCTTGGAAGCGTCCGCACGACGAGGCGTGGCACCGCGTTTGCGCCCGCTGGGTCGGCGGCACCGGTGGCACCGGCGGCGGCACCGCCACCGTCTTTGCCGACGGCTCCCTGATCCTCAACGCCAGCCTCGCCTCGGACGATCCCTCCGAGCTGCAGGGCTCGGGCCACCTCCTGCTGGGGCTCTTCCAGACGGCGGCGGCCGGCGCCGGCGGTGTCGCGACGGCGTGGGAGACGGTGCCGCAGCGGGCGCTGGTCGGCGAGCTGGCCGACGTGCGCCTGTGGGCGGAGGACGCTGGGGGCGAGCGTGGCTCCAGCCGGGCGCCGTCGTGCCAGCGGAACGGCAGCCTGGCGTCGTGGAGCCGCAGCTTCTGGCAGCCGACGAGGGAGGGCATGCTGGTCGACGCGGGGCTGCCTGCCGCACGTGAGTTGTTTGGCCGCCGCTGTAAATGTCCAAACTCGGTGGCGATGAGCCACTTGGTTGAGCGGTCATTGTAGATGGCCGGGTCGTTTCTGGCAAAGATATGCGTTGCTCAGTGGGGGCTTACCTGGTCAAGTAAAATAGTTAAAAATAAGCAACAATAGTTTGTTCTGCATGTTTAAGCGAGGAGAGCCGCAGCAAGTCTCAAGGCGCGATTTCAGGACGGTCCTGCCGGGTTTTTGCAGAAGGTGGGCGATGTTGCTGCTCTCTACCACTGCTGCTGTGTGTGCGTGAAACATAGGAATGGGTGTTGCCCTTTTTGGCAATGAAACAGGAGGTGTTAAGATGTTCAAACAATAAGTAGAAATCTTTTGCAAGGAATCAAGCCTGAATTCATCACACGTACTTGTGGTGAACATTTAAACAAACATGTTTTGATAATAGGTTCTAGATTTGAAGCTTTCGTGACTGCAAGGATTCATATTCTAAGGTTTTCGGTAAAGTCACGTAGGTAAATTTTTTTAAATTAAAATTAATAAAAGTAAAATTAAAAATCACGACGTTTCGGAGGCAACACAAGCTTCTGTCTTCATGTGGAACCGTCACAGCACGATAGCTGTACCGAAAACCTGAAGACGGAAGCTTGTGTTGCCTCCGAAACGTCGTGATTTTTATTTTATTTATTTTTATTTTACTTTGATTAATTTAAATTTAAATTTTTTACCTACGTGACTTTACCGAAAACCTTAGAATATTGATAATCGGTGTTCGGCTGTAGGATTAAACCAGAGAACCCGGAGGGAACCCATTGCGGAACAGTGGAATTGACTCTCAAACCACGTACAGAAAGGCGCCCGGGTTGGAAATTGATCCCAGGCCCTTCTTGCTGCAAGGTGCGAGTGTTATACGACCGCACAACCCCTGCCGCTCGTCAGCGTTGTCTGCGGCGTCGCTGCGCACCACTGGAATTGTGTCTTCCATAATTCGCCCGTGATTGGCAGCTGTCTCAGTGATGTGGTTTATTTACATTTTTTTTTTATTTCTCTTGACGTTTAATCAACAGGAATAATGTTTGTTGTCTAATGTGAATACCAATACCAATGAGAATAGGGAATGCTATTTCAATCGCACTACAAAGTTGCGTGATTGGGTTGACGTGGATATTAGTGGAAATAATTGGGTTTTTACGAAAATGTCAATACCGTGACACGCCATCCGTGAATCTCCGCGCGGTATTTCGAGGGCCCAACTGTGCCAAACGCGGCCGCGTCTTTGTGCCAAATCCCCGTTGCTCCTCTCATCTCTTTGTGGACATCGGTGAAAAGGGGAGCTTTCGAGCTCATTGGATTCCTCCAGTATAAATACACACATTCTGATTCTGATGAATACCAAAATAAAATAGCCTACTCTGATTATGATCCCTTAAATAGCCCCACGTCCACCCACGTCGCTTACGATCATTGGGCAGTGGTCACCTCCCCTTCACAGCCAGCGGTCAAATATTCTACATTCCAATGGGAGTGCCAGTCTGTCCAAAGAACAAGCGCTGTTGATTGCTTTTGTTTGTTTAACATCTGAGCCGTGACTCGTTGTTAGCCTGTTTTTTTTATGGGGCGGAGGGGTTGGGGGGGGGGTCTGGGATTAAAATAAAATCCTTTACAGGGACGAATGGGACCCGACTGTGACCCTTAACCGGTGTTTGATACTCGGTGACGTTTGAGCCAATAGTGAGTTGAGTGCGTTCGTCGCCGCGCCGCCACCCGCCCGGTGCCTTTGATCTTTCCGCGTCCTCGGGGCGGGGAGAATTGACCCGAAGCGCGCACACGAAAATCGGCGTCGTCGGCACGCGCTGTTGTCGAAATTCTGCCGACGAGGAGATGTTAACCACCTCGCCTGGTGTACAGGAGGTCGTGGGTTCGGTCCCAGCCCTGACGCCTGTACATCTGGAGTTTGCGCGTCTCTCTGTCGCTCCCCGCGATCGCGTGGATTTTTCTCCGGGTCCTCTGGGGTTTTCCCTCCACACTTGGAATCAACAATCGACGCGTTCAGAGTATTTGGCTGCTGTGAATTTGCACGTGATGAGCCGCTTCGTTCAGCTAATCATTTGTAATAGCCAGGTCGCTTCTGAAAAAGAGCTACATAGCTTAGTGGGCCTTACCCTGGTAAAAAAAAATAATATTTCAACAACAAAAAATGTTAAAATAGTTGCTGACCACGTTTTGCTTACACGTTGTCTCTATACACCGGAAGGGCGCGTAGCTTTGGATGCACAAGTCGTGAGAAAAGGATGCGCCTGGAAAACGCCGGCCCGCTCTTTCTCGGAGATGACATCAAACTAACGCGTGGAGCGGCGGGTGCCGCGGGTTAGTGCGCTGCGCTGTGAACGCAGCAGAACGCGTTGAATTCCCGGCCAGGGCTGAAAATCAGTGGCGATTGATCATCTGAACCAGTCTTGAAGCCCCCCTCCCCCCCCCCCCCCCCACCGTCACCACCGGGCAGTGACCAGTGGCCGAAACGTCGTGAGAATTGTATTTTATTATGTTTTATTTTTATTATTTTATTATTTCCCTTCTACATGACTTTACCGAAAGAACCAAGACTCCACCCTTCTGTCGGTAGCCTCGATCCCGGCTGCGTCTCTGGCGTTTGCTGCGTCGTGGAATTGCCGAGCCGTGGAAATCCGTTCATCCGACGGTGTGGATACTTTTAAAGTCTCGTGCCAAAACCACGTCTTCTTAAGTCAGTTGAATCCATTTGGCTTCTCTGTCTCTCTCGGCCTTTCCTTCCCCTCGTTCTTACAAGGCGCCTTGAGACATCAGCGGAAGACGCCTTACAGATAAATGTCAATTAACCATCACTATTGGCAATTGCGCGCGTGCGTCTAACGTTGTAGTATCCGCAGCAGCAGCAGCAGCAAAACAATTAGTTTTGCCCTCCTCCCGTCGATCGTCCTCGCCCATTTCAGGAAGCGAGTGTGTATGTTCACGCTCACTTTGAGCGTGTGTCGTAATTTTAATTGTTTTCTGTAAACCAGACCAGGGCGGGGTTGGTGGTGGTGGTGGTCGAGGCATGAGCCAGGCGCATCGCGGCGGCGGTGATGTGACTCCGTCTCTGTTAGGTAGCAAGTCGAGTCTTTCTCTCTCTCTTCTTATTTTTTGTTGTTATCCTCGTCGAGCCGGCCAAACCGGAACAGCCGCGGCCCGCGGCGACGAGCAACAGCGTTCGTTGCACAATGCGAAACAATGCCGACGCAGCGAGCGCATCGCACGCACGTTGAACGTAGCCGACCGTGTTCATCGGAGGTGCATCTCCACTCGTTAGCCTGCCGACCCGATCGTTACTGGGTCCCTCCCCCCGCCCGCACCCTCCTAACTCCGCATCTCCATTTGGGAAGGGAGGGAGGGAGGGAGAGAGGAGGGGCCAATTTATAGATTTGGTTGTAATCAATAACACTATTATTGATACTCTTGGTTCTTTCGGTAAAGTCACGTGTGGACCCTTGCAGTCACGAAAACTTCAAATGTAGAATATAATTGATAGTGACCCTTTAGCAATCGAGAAAGGCTTTCAACCGAGTCTCAACAACATGTGCCACGTTCCTGGCACAGTGGGATGTTTGGCCAATCCCACTGCTGAGTTTGTTTGGCTTCAGTGCGCGCAGTGAACCTGGACAGAACCCGGAGGAAAATGGTCCGCTCAGGCGAGGGGGTCACGCCCCGACAGCTCCGCACGGACAGATTCATGAATACGATGCTGTGCTGCATACTCCGGGGGGCCTGCCACCCCTTTGCAGTGCCAAATTAGCAAGTGGCCTCTCGTCCACGCATCAGCCGGGCTCATTCGCTGGCGAACTTCTGAGATCGGGCGCAGTCGGGGTGGTTTGTTCGAAACGACGAAGGGTTGCGTTTCACACCTCCCACCTCGTCGTCGTCGCCATCATTTTTTGTTAAATTTTAGATCACCACGAGGCAGCAGATGGACAACCGCCCCGCGTCGTCGCTTGTGACGGCGCTGTACCTGTGTACGCACAGCGTGCGGGGGGCTAATTCGTCAATCGGATTAAATCAGCTCGCCGTCGGTGATAAAGCTGCCCAGTCGTCCGTGTAAAGTCACCCAAGTTGCATCCTCGCCGTGTCGTTGGAGAAAGTTGATGCTATCCGGCGCACGACCCAAGTCACTCGCCGCGGCTGGCATCTTCAATTTTTGTTGCAGTTGTTTTCGTGTCATTCTTTCCCAATGTTATCCTCGACTGCGTAATCGGCGTCGTGTCGCGCCAACAAAAAGAGAGAATCCATTCCGGTCTCTCAGACAGCCCCGGCAGCTGGAGGTGGCCACGGATGGGCTAAGGTTGAGATTGAGAGACCCCAAAAGCGAGAGCGGAAGATGTACTACGATGCTTGCACAACACGCGGCGCTTACACAACGTCCATCAAACGTTTTGCGTAACATCTCACACTTTCAGTGGCGCGCCCGTAGCCTTCGTTGTTTCGTTTTGCCGCAACGGTTTGCAGGTGGACGGTATCCAGGGATATTTTCCACTGCCCATAGCCGAGCAGCGCTCGTGCCGCAGAGCGGTCGCGGCACAACGCGGCGGTGGCTTGCGACCGGCAAAATGTGGCCCAGCCAAGCCAGAGCCAAACACTCACCGCACACAACGACGCAACTCAATCTGACTCGTGGGGACAAGCTGGGCCATTGATGCGGTTCAGAGGTTTTTTTGTTGTCATATGTTGCGTAAATAGTTTTATTTTCTCACGTATATACTAATTTACTAATTGGCATGTTTTCTTTACGTGACAAGACTTACTTATTGGCTGCGTAGGGCGGTGGTGGGCTGAACGACGCATTTATATTTTATGCGATTTAACCCCCCCCCAAAAAAACCTTTATTATGGATAATATTGGTCACAAACGCCTACGTTTCGGACAATTTTTTTATTATCATACGTTGCATCATCGAACGACTTGCCTCGTGCACTGCGTTTGACGTGAGCGGCACGGCTCCCAGTCCCGCAGTGGAAAAAAAACTAATTGGCGCCTTCTCGGAACAGCTCAGTTGCAAAGTAGAGTGAAAAAGAAGTTAATAGTTCAGTGCAAGGCCCCTCGGGCCACTGGCAGCTCCCTGGTGGCCTTTAGTGCGGCCCCTGACGTGCGGCTATCCGACAACACACAACGAGTGACAACACCACCCCCATCATCGTCGTCATCGTCGTCATCATTGTCGTCGTCGTCATCATCGTCATCATCGTCATCGTCATCATCGTCATCATCGTCGTCATCGTCGTCATCATCGTCGTCATCGTCATCGTCGTCATCATCGTCGTCATCATCGTCATCATCGTCGTCATCATCGTCATCATCGTCGTCATCGTCATCATCGTCATCATCATCGTCATCGTCATCGTCATCATCATTATCGTCATCATCATCGTCATCATCATCATCATTATCGTCATCATCGTCGTCATCGTCGTCGTCATCATCGTCGTCATCATCATCGTCATCATCATCATCGTCGTCGTCGTCATCGTCATCGTCGTCGCGTTGCTGTCAAATCCCCATTGGTGTAGAATGTGCGGCTGCAACCTCACTCACACTGACAATGCCTCATCGGCGAAAGTGCCCCCCCACTCTCTTCCTCCCCCCTGAACATGAGTGAAGAGCCACTGAGATAGTTTGTTAAACCCAGTGAGGGTTTTAGGGAAGCCAGTCGGCCTCCAGACGCCTGCCCTCACCTCTCTCGATGAACCTGGCAGGGCAACCAGGGCGAGGAAAGGTGCCTGTGCTGCCCGACAACACGGGAGTGTGTTGGCGTTGCGATTATTCATCTGCTTATTGATCCCATTCATTGTTGATTTTAGCGAGGGCTGAATATGGTTTGTCTCGGGTGCATTGTCCGTGTTTCGTTTGTGCTGTTTGCTACAAGGCTAGTATCTGCCTCATTTCTACGGTGTATCATCTGTACCCACTCCTGTCTTTGGAACATTTGCTCAACGAAGGGAATATTTGCATAACATTTGCATAAACCCTCTGCCCCCCCCCCCCACTATTTCCACCAAGACCCCCCGTGTAGCCTTAACAGACTGTAGGGGCAAGTGCTGTTAGCGAGCACCTCGCCAACAGCACGCCCGGCCGCCTTTGTCTCCCCAGTGGCGATGTTCACACACTGCACTAGACACTCAATTAAGGCTGTTTCGACCTAGGGGAGGACCAGATCCAGTTCAGATAAGCACCACTGGGTGTTGGCCGGAGAGCAGGAATTGAACCCCGGGTCGCTGGGTTCGTAGCGCAGCGCGGCTAACCTCTACACCACCGCTTTCCACAGTTGCCACACACACAACAACAACAACCACCATTCGCCACTAAGTGGCGGTGACGTCACCACGATGCTTGTGCCAGGCCAAGTGCACTTTGAGGCCACGTGAAGTGTCGAACGCCCGCTGGCAGGAGGTCACGGGGCAGACCCAGCAGGTGCCACGGGTCGACTGACCGAGATGACCGAGATGACTGGCTGATGCACCACCTGTGCCCCCTACTGTGCCAACTTGCTGTGCTTTAGCCACCCGGTGCTCCGCTCGTTGTTGTGAGCGTCTCTCCTCTGCCCTCCGTTGTTGTTGGAGGGCGACTGCCTCCAACTGCCCAGTAGCGTCCTTCACGAGCCAAACACACACACACATACGTACACACACACACACGTGCACACACACACGTACACACGCACACACGCGCGCGCGCATGCATTTCGTGTCTACTGAACAACGAGATTTTTCACAAAGCCTGCCTGGGGCCCAAGGTGACTTTTAATAAGCCAGGCGAACTGCATTTGCGAGTCGATACTCACCCCTCACCTCGAGCCAAACATCTCGGCTGTGCGATGCCAACCACGTGGGTGCCCAGTGGCATGGACGTGGTTGGCATGTGCCCCGGTGGTGGTGTGAGGAATGAGACGGGGGCTGCCCCGGTCGGTCAAAATTCCACTTTGGAAACTGTGGGTGTCCTGCAAGTTGTATGTATGGACACAACTGATAGCAGCGCTTGCCCCGACAGTATGTCAAGGGTATATGGGGGATATTTGTCTTTGGTGCTGGCCACCGCCACCCCTTTGTGTGCCGTTCCGGCCTTCATAGATGCTACTCGCTAACAGCACTTGCCCCAGCAGTTTGTTAAGGCTATACAGGGAATCTTTGTGTTTGTTTGTTTTTTATGTTGAACTTATTTCGCACCGCACGTAGCCAACCGTGCTAATCGGAGGTAGTTGGTTAAAACACTCCAACTATAGGACCGTAAAGCTTGGGAAAATTATTGCTTTTTTGGGGGACAATTGTTGGCACCATACTCTTAGTTTTTTCGGTAAAGTCACGTAGGTAAAAAATTTAATTAAAATTAATAAAAAATAAAATAATAAAAATCACGACGTTTCGGAGGCAACACAAGTCTCCGTCATCAGGTGGGACCGTCACAGCCAGATTTGCCTCACTTGATACAGCAAATCTGGCTGTGACGGTCCCACCTGATGACGGAGACTTGTGTTGCCTCCGAAACGTCGTGATTTTTATTATTTTATTTTTATTAATTTTTATTACATTTTTTACCTACGTGACTTTACCGAAAAAACTAAGAGTATGAATCCTTGCAGTCACGAAAGCTTCAAATCTAGAATTGTTGGCACCGGTTGTGTCTGCCTTTGCCTGTGGCTCCCCGCGCCTCCGTGCTCGGTGCAAATTCTGCAGCGGCGTCTCGAGACCTAATTTGCATGTCTGACGCCGTACCCGCTGTAGATTTACAAACAATATTTGTCTATGATGTTACAATTGCATAGTATTATAGCGAATGGTTCCGAGTGGTTGTTTAGATTATGGTGCCGCAGATAATAGGGGTCACAGGTAACTGGGCTCCAGATGAGTAGCGTTCCACTGTCCCTATAATTATATTAATATAACATTGGTAGGAACCTCCTGGTTACACCAGCCCACAGGGGATTATTGTGTCCGTCCGTCGTGCATCAAAAAATGGGAGGGGTGGGGCTGGTTGGAGAGGGGAGGGTGAGGAGGGGCTGGGTGGGTGGGGAGGGTGGGGAGGGGCTGGGTGGGGAGGGGAGGGTGGGGAGGGGCTGGGTGCGGAGGGTGGGGAGGGGCTGGGTGGGAAGGGGAGGGTGGGGAGGGGCTGGGTGCGGAGGGTGGGCGGTGGGGCTGGGTGGGGGGTGGGAGGGGTGGGGCTGGGTGGGGAGGGGCTGGTCACCCCGTGGTACCCTTATAAAACTCAACGTTTAACCTACTCACGTCGGCTTGTGCCCGCCCTCACAGTCGCACACAGCTTCTTCTTCGCACACACACCTCCCCCGATGTCATTCGCTGCTCCGTGTACCCGTGGCAGGAGCGGCGTTTACGGCAGGGATGGGGAACCTCTTTTCTGCCAAGGGCCATTTGGATATTTAGAACATCATTCGCGGGCCATACAAAATTATCAACTTAGAAATTAGCCCGTTATATTTAGTCAAACGTTTAATCAACTCACCCATAATGCGATGGGCTGGAACTGCCTCTCTTTGGCGAGGCGTGTGATGCTAGCCGGTATTGATGATGTTGCTACTCGCAACTGCTTTTCCAGGTTTGCTCCTAGAGATTTATTGAATTTCGAGTCCCGCCTACGGTTGCCTTGGCAGGGCCAGACCCAAATGATTTCGCGGGGCCATATACGGCCCGCGGGCCGGACGTTCCCCACCCCTGGTTTTCGGTCACCAGCGGTGGCCGGTGCGCAACGCGGTTCCAGGCGGCAGCCGGGAATCGGTTTCGAGAGATGTCATCGCGCGCCGCCGGTGTCACCGCAGCGCATCAGACGCCGCGCGCGGGTCCGCCACCAGTCCGCCGGCAACAGCGTTGCCAAGCGGCCGTTTGCGACGTCCGATTAAGTTGCTACGAGCATTCCCTGCCGCGTCGTCTTGCTGCCGAACCGTGACCCACATCCAGCAGAGGCGGCGGCGCTCCGTGGCTATGGACCGGCGTTGGTTCTGCGCGGGTCGACTGCGAGTCGTTAGAAGCGTCTTTTACGCAACTTCGCTCATTTGTTGCGCTTACTTTGGTCGTCCTGCCACCGGACCTCCAATGGTGCCAGCTCACTCACACTGGTAATGTCTCCCCGGCGAAAGCGGTCCCCTCCCCCCCCCCTGCCTCTCTGAAAGTTCGTGAAGAACCACCGAGTCCAGCCCACCCCGTGTGTGTGAGACGTGGCAGGGTGTGCAACGGCTTCTCCTCCCCCTGACGCCCCCCCCCTGTCTTGTGGTTGTTGTTGTTGTTTGACTTGCATCCCACTGGGATTTTTGCACACAGCGTTGGTGTACGGTGAATTTTTTTCCTGCAATATTTTGCTGTCTTTTCTTGGATTTTCTGTTTGCACGTAGTCACATATTCACTTTAAGATGTTTTTTGTTCATGTTTTTGTTTTTTGTTTGTTGCGGTTGCATCCGATTCAAGAGCCGAATGGCTCACAGGGCTATACCTAATAAATGAACTTGAACTTGAACTCTCTCTCTGTGCTCCGCCCACGCAGGAGACGTCGTTGACAACTTCCGAGTTCAATTCCGGGCCGAGGTGAACGCCGCGGGCAACCGGTCCGTGGACGAGCAGCTCCTGGCGACGGTGGCGACGTCCTGGGTGAGACGGCAGGGGGTTGCCCCCCCCCATCACCCCCCACCACCCCTCGCACGGGGGCCCCCACGTGCCGGAGGGGGCAAACAGGCGCTGGGCTAAGAGGGATGGGGGGGGGGGTATAGAGGAGGGGGGGCCCACCTACGTTGCTTGGAACCCAGGCAATGCCAACAACGCCACACTACTGAGACCTATAGACTTACGCAGAGACCCATGGACTAACATAGGAGCTTTCGTCAGTCTAGCACGGGACCCACAGACTTACATAGAGACCCATATACTACCATATGGAACCATAGACTTGCATAGAGACCCATAGACTCACTGGAGACCCATAGACCTACACAGAGATCGTACACTAACATTGGACCCATAGTCAGTCGATCATTGGACCCATATACTTACATAGAGACCAATACACTCCCGTATCCCACCACAGACTAAAATAGAGACCAGTAGACTCACTATCCACCCATATACTTACATAAACACCCATAAAGGCACGATCCACCCGTAGACTTACATAGAGACTAATTGACCCACTATCGACCCATAGAGATACATAGAGACCGTAGACTAACATAGCACGCAGGAACGTAGCTACTGAGTGTGCAGGCGGTGCAACTGCGCCGCTTGAGGGGCCCAGATTCCAGGGCAGGCGTTGTTGGCCGGGGGGGGGCATTAAAATTACTGCTCGGGGACCCATGTCAACCACGCTCCACCACTGCCTACCGTAGCCCTAACCCCAACACGAACAACCACGATCATTGCAATAGCGCCGAGCTTAACCATGAACCTCAGCGCGAACACCAATCACAACACTCACTCGAGCCCTAACGCTCGCCATTTGGGTTAATTATGAATGAAAGAATTGGCATTTGGGTGAGCGAATGAGTGAATGAAATTATTAGCATATGGGTGAGTGAGTGAGTGAAGGAAAAAAAATGCATTTGGGTCAGCAAGTGAATGAAAGAATGATCATTTTGGTGATTGAGTGAGTGAATTAAAGAATGAGCATTTAAGTGAGTGCATGAAATAACTTCCACGTGTGTGGGTGAGTGCGTGTTTTAGCCAGTTTTAGCCTCCCCTAGGTCGACTGAGCCTCAAATGAGTACCTGGTACGATGTGTAAACATCAGCATTGGAGAGACAAATGCGGCTGGGCGTGGAGGTGGCCACCCACCCCCTCGTGTGCCGCTCTCTACGAGCACTTACTGTCTGTTCAGGCTATACGGGGAATTTTTGTCTTTATTTTATCCATTTGGGTATATGTGGGGAGCCGAAGTGCAACGGTTAGCGCGCTGCGCTACGAACCCGGCGACCCGAGTTCGATTCCCGCTCACGGCCAACACCCAGCGACGATTTTCTAAACCGGTCCTGGGCCTCGCCTAGGTCGACTCAGCCTCAAGCGAGCGTCCGGTGCGGTGCGTAAAAAAATATCGCCACCGGGGAGACAAAGGCGAAACGTACCCCGCTGGCTGTAATTGTTCACAGCAAACCGCTCGAGATAAACGTAGCAGGGCCTCTTGGGAAGGATTACACGCACACACGTACACACACGTACACACACAAACAAACCAAGAACCCAGTCCTTTTGCAGTTGCAAAACTCGAGATAAGGAGACACGCACGCACGCCCCCTCGCTGCCTCTTCGCACAGTCAGAATCGGAATCTTTATTTAGGCCGCATGGAATCCGATGAGCTATGAAGCTCTTTATGTCCCACGCACGTGCAGTAGCTTCACACATATGCAGGCAACCCGTTGTTGAACGTAGACGTAGCACGGTTGGCTACGTACGGTGCTGAATAAGTTCAATAAACAGACGTCCCACGTGTGTGTCTGTGTAAATGTGTTCCACGTGTGTGTGTGGACCCGTGTTCCACGTGTGTGTTTACACGTGTTCCACGTGTGTGTCTATGTGGACCCGTGATCCACGTGTGTGTACATGTTTCCTCGTGTTACACGTGTGTGTATATACGTGTTCCACGTATGTGTTTGTGTGTACACGTGTCCCACGTGTGTGTGTGTACACGTGTTCTACGTGTATCTGTGTGTACACGTGTTCTACGTGTGTGTACATGTTTCCTCGTGTTCCACGTGTGTGTATATACGTGTTCCACGTGTGTGTACATGTTTCCTCGTGTTCCACGTGTGTGCATATACGTGTTCCACGTGTGTGTCTGTGTACACGTGTCCCACGTGTGTGTGTGTATACACGTGTTTGACGTGTATGTGTGTACACGTGTTCCATGTGTGTGTATGCGTGTATGTATGTGTGTATGTGTACACGCGTGTATACGTGTATGTATGTGTACACATGTGTGTATGTACACGCGTGTGTGTATGTGTACACACACGCGTGTACACGTGTATGTGTGTGTGTGTGTACACGTGTCTCGTGTTGCGTACACCGTTTGCGTTAGAATCCAGCTGCGTCGTCAGAGTCGCCGGCGACGTGACGACATTTGTGATTTACCCACCCGCAGCTTCAGCAGGCGATGAAGGACCTCCCGTTCAGCACGGAGCTCGGCAACATCAGGCATGAGCTTCACACGCACCCCGCGCGCCAAGCCCTCGTCGCGATCCCAATATTGGAAGAGAAAAAAAAACATTTCGATGCATTTCCACGTGCACTCGATGGGTGTCACACGCAGCAAGAGACTCGTTCCCTCTTGCAGGTTCCATGCAGACTCGCTGCAAAGGGACAGCTGCCGCTGGGGGGGGGGGGGGTGATCCGTTGAGCTAAATCACGCGTCAACATTGCCCCCTGCTGGCAGATCCATGCCCGCTTGGGGGGCCCGTGTGTTGTGTCACCCTGCGCCAGACGGAGGCTTCGTTACTCGGCACCTTGACTCTGCTCCCCCCCCCTCCTCCTCTCGAGTTAACGCTCGCACCGAATGGGACGATGCCTTCCGCAACTTTGGGCAGGATGGAGGTCTTGGGGTCTCAGACCTCCACCACCCCCCCCCCCGGAGAGGAGTTGCGTCTCCGCGGCTTGAAAGCTCACGAGATGCGCGTGCGTGCGGGGGGAGCGGTGGTGCAGCGGTTAGCGCTACGCTGCGCTACGAACCCTGCGACCCGGGTTCGATTCCCGCTCACGGCCAACACCGGTGACGATTATTATCTGAACCGGTCCTGGGCCTCCCCTAGGTCGACTTAGCATCAAATGAGTACCTGGTGCGGTTGTGTAAACATCGCCACTGGGGAGACAAAGGCGGTCGGGAGTGGTGCTGGCCACCCACCCCCATCGAACACCGTTGCGGCCTTCATAGGTGCTCGCGAACAGCACTTGCCCCATTGGCCTGTTAACGCTATACGGGAGATCTTTGTATGATGTTGAACTTCTTTCGCACCGTACGTAGCCAATTCGTGCTAATCGGAGGTGCGGGACGCGGGTTAATCTACCGAGCAAGTGATGACAATGAACCTCAGCGGCCCCGTGGGTTCTCGCTGTCGCTGTGCAGCTCTCACGCCGCGATTGTCCGACGTTTCGCTCCACAAGCGCCGGGAGTTTGATTGTTCCCGAAGAGCCGAACTGATGTTGATTCTCACTGCCCACTATCTCCCCCCCCCCCCATCCCCCCCCCCCCATCTCTTTCCTTTGTCATAGCTTCGTGAGGTTGTACGCAGAAGACGTGGAAGAGGTGAGTGAACGTTGCTTCGGGCTTACCTCGGCGCGCTCGGGAATGCGAGGCTTTAGTCGCAGATGCCTTGCGGATTATTCGAGTGAGAGAGAGAGAGAGGGGGGGGGGCAAACACGTCAATGTCCAGCCGGTGCAAGTGACTCTCTCAACGCCACTGTTGGCAGACAGAGTTTCACTTGAACGAGCGATACGTTGGCCCACTCTGCGCCGTTGGTCAGACACCCTGGAAGATGTCGGAGTATCCACACTTCACCCCACCACACGTCTGACTCATTTCATGTACGCGCACAGAGACAAAGATCCCCCGTACAGCCTTAACAAAGTGTTGGGGCAAGTGCTCCTATGAATGGCCGGCACGGCACGCGAGGGGGTGGGTGGCCAGCACCACGCCCGGCCGCCTTTTGTCTCCCTAGCGGTGATGTTCACGACACACCGCACCAGGTACTCATTTGAGGCTGAGTCGACCTAGGAGAGACCCCCGGTTCAGATAATCGTCAACGGTGTTGGCCGTGAGCGGGAATCGAACTCGGGCCGCCGAGTTTCGTAGCGCAGCGTAACGCTAACCGCTACACCACTGCCGCCCCCCCCACGCACTAACACAAGACAAAGACAAAGATCCCCCGTATAGCCTGAACCGACTGCTGGTGGCACTCTCACACACGGGGGCGACAGTGACAGCCGCTAAAAGACACCGTGCCGGGGCGACCCATTGCATTGTTGTGTTGGTGTTGTTACGACCCTGCTGCGGTCGAAGCAAATAGACGGGGAGAGAAAAACAGACACATTCCGCGTGGTGTTTATTGTCACACGTGTGTCACACGTGTGTCCGCGTGTGTCCTGCAGTGTGTCCTGCAGGGATCGCGAGGTGTCACTCAAGGCGGGGGAAGTGCGTCACTCAGGTGAGGCCCGCGTCATCACACAGCCGCGGCTTCATCTCCAGAATTCGTTCTGCGTGCCCGGATTATCACGGGGATGGGGGGCCTTAAGGGGGTGCAGACCCCCGGGAAGGGGGGGGGGGGTGCTGAGGCTTGGATTCTGAAGTCCACCCCCTCACCACCACCCACCACAATCTAAAAAAAAATGTATACAGCGTTGTCATGAACGAAATGGAATATTTGCAGCAGGGTGATACATCCTCCGGGGTAACGTCGTGATTACCCATAGCGGCACTGCGCGTGTTACTACTGCCGGTCACGTGCAGATTGTAAATACGTTTTGTTCAGTAGTAATAGGTTTTTACCCTTTTAACTGGTACAAAATCTGACACCTTTATACAAGGCATCATGTTTGCAATAACCTCAACACAAGAAGTCAAAATGCAAACAAGAAAACTCTGATGATGATAATGATATGCACTGTCCTTGAAGTTGATTACTATATTTTGCCACTGGTAAAGGAGATCTCATAGTGTAAATGCTTACCCCGAGCTCTCAATACTCTGATAGTGCGCTGTACTTTGAGTTGTACGCCTTTTGGCGTCATCTGGTCCAACATCAATGGAGACTAGGCTCTAAAGAAAAGCTGTCTCGGGTGTGGACCAATCAACTTCAAGGACAGTGCATATCATTATCATCATCAGAGTTGTTTCTTTTTGTTTGCATTTTGACTTCTTGTGTTGAGGTTATTGCAAACATGATGCCTTGTATAAAGGTGTCAGTTTTTGTACCAGTTAAAAGGGTAAAAACCTATTACTATATTTTGCCACTGGTAAAGGAGATGTCTCAATAGTCGTAAATACGTTTTGTTCGTTTTGCCCGCGATTCGTCTGCACGGGTCGCACATCGCGACGCATTTAAAGCACGGATAATTCACGCAGCAACCAAGGCGATTGAATGTCCTACGGAGCGATCGTGGTAGAACAGTGAAAGAGATGAATATACAGAGGTACCCACCCCCCCCCACCTCCACCTCCAAACTATAACAGCCCCAATGCCCCCCATCCCCCCCCCCCCAAACTTCCCCACCCATCATCAAACTTAATCCGGCTCTGTGGGCGAGTAGTCTCACACAAAGACGCCCGTTCATTCGGTCAGCAGGTGTTCACATGCGTGCCGTGGTTCGTGTTGACATTGTTTCCTTTGAGCGTCAGGTTCATTCCGAGCCACGCAATGCGAGTGCAGGATCTGCACGTGCTTTGCGCGCTCTCTCTCTCTCTCTCAAGCCCGGCGGGTTTCCGAAATTAAACAGCCTTTGTGATTTTGAGCGTTTTTTGGAGCGAGGACATTTTATGCGGTGGTTGGAACGGTTGGGTTCCTGAAGATGGTCGGGTTCCTGAAAATTGTCAGGCTCCTGAAAATGGTCAGGTTCCTTCCTGAAAATGTATCCAGTGGGATTCATATTCTTGGTTCTTTCGGTAAAGTCACGTAGAAGGGAAACAATAAAAAATATAAAAATATATATAAACAATAAAATTCTCATGACGTTTTATATTTTTTTATTATTTTCTTGTTTCCCTTCTACGTGACTTTACCGAAAGAACCAAGATTATGAATCCCTGCAGTCACGAAAGCTTTAAATCAAAATTTGCCAGTGGGATGTACATTTTTGGGTGCGTTTGTGTGTATGTTTGTGTTGCGTTCTTGCCAACTTTGTGCCATCGGTGTCGTGTCAAGACGAAGCGATAATTCGGAACTTTTGTCGTAGACTGGCAAGACATCGTCCCCCCCCCCCATCCGTGTTAGAGAAAACGGCCCTTGGAAGGAAACGTCACAGAACTACTTTTGAGAGCCCTGATGAACTGGACTCATAAGAGTGTTGCGCAATATCAAATGTTCTTACTTTAAGTCAGAATAAGAATATGTTTTTCATACTTTGATACTGGCAAAAAAGGTCCAATTCAGAATCAATATATTTATTGACACTAGAGGAATCCGATTAAATTATTTTTCAGAATCGACCTGGCCACAAATTATAGCTAAAAAAATCGGCTTATGATGTGGAAATTCATAGCGGCAAAATAATCTAAATAATCGAAGTGACTTAATCCACACTGACGGTTCAGTGCTTTGATCACATGGGAAGTAAAACTGAAGTTAAGTCTTAAGTAGCTGGCAACGTGGCCACATTTATGGAGAAATGTATTTATTATTTTACCACCGTGATGGGTTTCTTAGTGCGGTCATTCGGTGTGCGTAGGTGAGACCCACTCCATCCACGAGATAGGAGGCGCTGGTCTAATACACAGGTGGCTGAATCCCACGGTCCAGACTCACAATGTAATTCGCTGCCAGCTTCAGTGCCCTTGTGATTTTCTGAACCACGTGGCCACCCTCTAAAAAAATAGACATTGGTTTTATATTACCATTTACGCAAAATATATAAAAACACATGTGAACTGAAATGAAAGCGCTGACATGCATGGCTTCTTTCAAAATATTGAGAATATATCGGTTACATTTTTTGAGCTTTTGGCGGATTCATGAGCGACTGGCGTTATGCAACTGAAGTTATGCAACTGAAGTTATTCCAATGTCTCCGCCACGAACAATGCGGCTATTCGCCAAGGTAATATGCTTCAGCTGTTCAATCAAGGGTCAGACCTGGTCCGTTGTTATTGGGGTTTTCACAACTTAATTTGATTCCATTAAGTCTGTGCATATATATTTACGGACGCAAAAAACGAGTTCACATCAGCCATTGCCATCTTCTGCCATACAACAATCGTCGTTTTTGTTCACGTCCTTAATTGTCACAGTGAATTGCAAACATTTGTTAAACTTTTTATGCCCGAAACGTCACCTATTATATATTTTTATTTAAAGGCCACACACACAGTTGTTGTTGACGAATATGTTGAGTGGTAATTAAATGAATTAGCTCAGAAAATATGGCATCATTAATCGTGATCTCGTCACATTCTTTTTAATGATCGGTCACATCATTGGCCGGATGTTGCCGTAAGGTGACGGCTCGCTGGACTTGCAATCCAGAGGCCGCCTGGTTTCATCTCCAGGCGCAGCAGTTAAAAAAAAAATACAATGGCCAAATTTGTCTTAAATCTCCGACCACCTCTCTACCTTTTTTTCTCTTCTTGGTTCTTTCGGTAAAGTCACGTCGAAGGGAAATAATAAAATAATAAAAATAAAACATTATAAAATAATTCTCACGACGTTTCTGCCACAACGCAAGCAGCCGTCCTCAGGTGAAGAACAGGTCTGTCGGGAAGACAGCGTTTGAATGAAGCACCCCACCTCTCTACCATTCAATAGGCCACCGTCGATCGGCAGGTTTGCGCGTGGTGGTGGTGAAGTGTGGGTAGCCCCACCTCTTCAAAGTTGGACGTCTGACCAGCATGGCAAAGGCCAATAACCCTCTCCAGCGGGTTCATATTCTTAGGTTTTTTCGGTAAAGTCACGTAGGTAAAAAAATGTAATTAAATTTCGATTTAAAGCTTTCGTGACTGTAGGGATTCATCTTCTTGGTTCTTTCGGTAAAGTCACGTAGAAGGGAAATAATAAAATAATAAAAATAAAACATAATAAAATAATTCTCACGACGTTTCGGCCACAACGCTGTCTCCCCGACAGACCTGGTCTTCACCTGAGGACGGCTGCTTGCGTTGTGGCCGAAACGTCGTGAGAATTATTTTATTATGTTTTATTTTTATTATTTGATTATTTCCCTTCTACGTGACTTTACCGAAAGAACCAATAAAATTTAAAATTAATAAAAGTAAAATAAAAATAAAATAAAAAGACGGAAGCTTGTGTTGCCTCCGAAACGTCGTGATTTTTATTTTTTATTTAACTTTGATTAATTTTAATTTTTTACCTACATGACTTTACCGAAAACCCCTAAGAATAGAATCCTTGCAGTCACGAAAGCTTTAAATCTAGAACTCTCCCGGGGGGTTCTCTAGAGCGCCTCCTAGTGCAGGCCCTACTGGCAGCAGTGGCGTGAAAAAAAAAACATTTTACGAAATGATGAACGAAACAGAGTGCCGAATGCATCGAGCATCTTCTTGTTTCCACTGATCGTAAAAAAAAAAAGCGAGGAAATGCAGGGTCTGTGCCTCTATCACCTTCTCCCTCGTCTCGACCATCCAAACGTCATTCCTGCATGATCATCATCATCTTGTGCAATGGTCCCAAACATTAACGGATTGCAAAACTATTCTTCTACGTCGGTAAGCTCACGGGTTTAGATGGATTATCGCATTAAATGTGGCGTCGTCATCATCATCATCATCTCGTCATCGCATGACACACGAACGCGTGACATGTTTAACTCGAGTACATTGTACGGCTCCACTTGTTAATGAGGACACAGTTTTAAAATGCCGCGCGCAAAAAAAAGGTGGTAGGGCATGTTTGTTGTTTTTTTTGATAGGTGAACCGGCATAACAGGACGGAGAAAAAAAATTATTTAAAGAAAAAAACTAAGAAACCGATGTCTCTCTTTGCGACGATGTCCTCACACGCAGCTTTGCGGGGACGGTGCATCTGACGGCTGTGGGTGCCCTGGACGGCGTGGGCTGTGACTCGGCCACCGTGCTGAGCGAGATCATCCAGAGCCTCAACACCAGCTTCTCCATCAACAACGCGAGCGGCGTCATAAACAACAACAGCAGCAACGCGCCGGTATCAGACGTCAACCAGACGGGGAGCCAAAACAGCAACCGCAGGAAGCGATCAAACGGAAATAGCAACAACAAAAACAGCAATAACGGCAATAACAACAACAACAACGGCAATAACAACAATAACAACGGCAACAACAACGGCAACAACAACAACAACGACAACATCAGCAGCAGTAACGTTGATGGGAACATAAGCAGCAGCAGCAACCAAAACAACAGCACATCCACGAGCAGTGACAGCAGCAGGAGCTCGGCAATCAGCCAGCCTGAGAGCTCCACCACCACCCGCACGGATGGCCCCAACGACAGTCAGAACAGCAGCAGCAGCAACAGCAGCAACAGCAGCAGCAGCTGGGTAATCAACCAGCCTGAGAGCTCCACCACCACCCGCACGGATGGCCCCGACGACAGTCAGAAAAGCAGCAACAGCAGCAGTAGCAGCAGCAGCAACAGCAGCAACAGCAGCAGCAACAGCAGCAGCAGCAGCAGCTGGGTGGGGGACGTGGGTACGAGTGAGGCCGACGCTGGCTACATCGCCCAGCCGGAGCTGACCGCTCATCTCGTCCTCTCCTCCGTCACTGATCTCGGTACGGGGAAGCGTGCTGAGAGTTTCTCTCTCGATTTCTCTCGATCTCTCTCTCGCTCTCTAACTCGCTATCTCTCTCGCTATCTCTCTCTGGCTATCTCTCTCCCTAGCTCTCTCTCGCTATCTTTCTCGCTATCTCTCTCTCACGCCGGGGAGCCGGAAAAACCCCTCTCTGTACCAGCGTGGACGGCACCCTTGTGTTCACCTTCTGAAGCGCTCGCTCGTCACCGTGGCGTGCGCGATGACCACCACCACCACCACGTGACTTTTATTTTGTGTTGTACGCGGTGCATTTAGCGCCACAGGGCATGGATCCATAGCGTTTGTTTATTTGTTTGCTGGTGACTTTGTGTATTTCATATCGGAATCGCCTCCAGTGCTGTTGCTGCTGGCGGCAATAAAAGTTGTTTAAAAGTCCAACGTCTAGCTCTCTCTCTAACTCTACTCTCTCTAGCTCTCTCTCTCTCTCTAGCTTTCTCTCTGTCTCCCGCAAGAGGTCACACGTTTCAGAATCAGAATATTCATACTGCAGGAGCGATCCAATTATCTGCAAAGCAAACAATGCAAAAAAAAAACACGATTGCAGTGCAAAGTACAAGAAAGGTGAACACATCACTAATCCGACCACTCCACCCACCGCTCTCCAACCCCGTCGCATGCCAGATCATGTTCAGCGCTGCACGCGTGTCTCTGTGTGTCGGTCGTGTCGCAGTTAGCGTGCTGCGCTACGAACCCAGCCACCCGAGTTCGATTCCGGCTCACGGCTAACACCAGTGACAGCGATTTTCTGCACTGGTCCTGGCCCTCCTCTCGGTTGACTGGTGCGGTGTGTAACATCATCGCTACTGGGGAGACAAAGGTGGTTCGGGCGTGGTGCTAGCCAGCCACGCTCTCTCGTGTGCCGTGCCGGCCGTCATAGGTGCTCGCTAACAACACTTGTGGGGAGCGATAGCGCGCTGCGCTATGAGCCTGGTGACCCGGGTTCGATTCCCGCTCACGGCCAACACCAGTGACGATGATCTGAACCGGTCCTGGGCCTCCCCTAGGTCGATTCGGCCTCAAATGAGTACCTGGTGCGGTGTGTAAACATCGCGACTGGGGAGACAAAGGCGGTCGGGCGTGGTGCTGGCCACATCCACCCCCTCGTGTACCGTTCCGGCCTTCATAGGTGCTCACTAACAGCACTTGCCCCGACAGTCGGTTAAGGCTATATGGGGGATCTTTGTCTGTGTGTGTGTCCGTGCGTGTGTTCCTCGAGCAGCCGTCTGCCAGGGCGAGGTGAAAGCGACACGCAGCAAAGGCATCTACAGCTGGCCCCAGACGCGATCGCCGTTCAGCGCCTCCGTGCCCTGCGCTCAGAACCCCAACCGGACGGTCACGCGCACCTGGTCAGTGACGATACGGCCCGATATAAAGAACTAAACTATCTTCTTGGTTCTTTCGGTAAAGTCACGTAGAAGGGAAATAATAAAATAATAAAAATACAAAATAATAAAATTCTCACGACGTTTCGGCCACAACGCAAGCAGCCGTCCTCAGGTGAAGAACAGGGATGTCGGAAAGACAGCGTCCGAATGAACACCACCAAGCTTGGCAGCGTATATTTATGCTTGGTCAGAGGAGGAGAGCGCCTTGACAAAGCTTGGTGGTGTTCATTCGGACGCTGTCTTTCCGACATCCCTGTTCTTCACCTGAGGACGGCTGCTTGCGTTGTGGCCGAAACGTCGTGAGAACTGTATTTTATTATGTTTTATTTTTATTACTTAATTATTTCCCTTCTACGTGACTTTACCGAAAGAACCAAGAAGATGAATCCCTGCAGTCATGAAAGCTTTAAATCGAAACTAAACTATCATCACGTTGAAAATGTATAGCAGCCGAATACTTGAAACACACGTTGGTTTTAAATGTGGAAGGGAAAAAAAACCGGGGGACCCGGAAATAAATCAATGCCACCATGGGGAGAGAGACACGCAAACTCCAAATGTACAGGTGTCAGGGTTGGGATTGAACCCACGGTCTCCTGCATACCAGGCGAGGTGGTTAACATCTCACCACCGTGGCGCCCTCCACGATGTCTCCATACCCACTGGAGATGCACTCCCAGTTTGTGAATTCATCAGCATCATCAGCCATGGTCAAAATTCATCAGCATCATCATCATCCCTTGCAGCAGCGGCTTTTGGCTGACCATCGAACAAAGACGGCCACCGCATCACGTGCCATCAGATGCACTTCTGCGGCCGTCTGGAACGCTCTTCCTGATATTTGGAAGCAAATGGAGTTATGCAAATTTAAAATCTAGAACTGCTTTTTGTGTTGAGTTTTTTGTCCTTTCCCCGCTCCTCCCATTAGCACGGTTGGCTACGTACGGTGCAAAAGAAGTCCAAAGTACAAACACACGTACTTAATCCACTGCTGGATGAAGGCCCCTTCCGGAAGCCGATGTTGACGTTGTTCGTTGTTGATGTTTGCGACAGCGAGCGGGCGCCGTTTGCTGCCAGTGCCCATTGGCTGGATCCGGACGTGAGCGCCTGCGAGGACATTGAGGGTAAGAGTTCGAGTCGCGGTTCGGGCCGGAGCGTCGAGGTGGGCACGGTGCACAGACTGCCCCCCCCCCCCCCCCCCCCCATCATCATCACCGCCTCGGAAACCTGTTTGCGAGCAGCCTTCACAGGTCCTGCTCGCGAATAGCACTTAGCCCAACAGTCTGTTCAGGCTATACGGGTGGAGGGGATCTTTGTCTTTGTTGTACACCCGTGTACGTTTTGACGCACGTGCGTGTATGTCTGTCTATGTGTGTGTGTCTGTGTGTGTGTGTGTCTTTGTGTCTGTGTATATATGTCTGTGGGGAGCGGTAGTGTAGTGGTTAACGCGCTGTGCTATGAACCTGGCGACTCGAGTTCGATTCCCGCTCACAGCCACCACCAGTGACGATTATTTTAATCGGTCCTGGGCCTCCCCTAGGTCGACTCAGCCTCAAATGAGTACCTGGTGTGACATGTAAACATCGCCACTGGGGAGACAAAGGCGGCCAGATGTGATGTTGGCCACCGACCCCCTCGTGTGCTGTGCCTTCATAGGTGTTCGCTAACAGCACTTGCCCCATATACGGGTGATCTTTATCTTTGTGTGTGTCTGTGTGTGTGTCTGTCTGTGTCCGTGCGTGTGTTCCTCGGGCAGCCGTCTGCCAGGGCGAGGTGAACGCGACGCGCAGCAAAGGCATCTACAGCTGGCCCCAGACGCCGTCGCCGTTCAACGCCTCCGTGCCCTGCGCTCAGAACCCCAACCGGACGGCCACGCGCACCTGGTCAGTGACAATCACAGCCCCATCACTAGAACTAAACTTATCCCCCCCCCCTCCCTCTTGATTTGAAGCTTTCGTAACTGCAGGAATCCATACTCTTTGATCGCAACACCAGCAATTTTCATCAGGTGGAACAACCACCTGATGAGGATTGCTTGTGTTTTGCGATCGAAACGTTGTGATTTTGTTTTATTTTATTTCTACCTACGTGACTTTACCAAAAGAACCAAAGAGTACCCCCTCCCCTCTCCCCCCTCCACCCACCCTACTACACCAGGTTTCATTCACTCGGTTGGTTTTACTTCCCCCTCCGTTACCTCTGTCCCTATTTGACCGTCCACCTTCTCCCCGACTTGGCGTCCCTGGCTTGGTTGGGGCAGTGAAGGGCACTCACCCCCCCTCCCCCCACCACCTTTTACCTCCCGCCTCCTCCATATGGTTCAGTCATGTCGGGGGGTTATCGTCCGTGAATTACGACACCCGCTTGTGTGCTGTATCGGGCTCGCGTTTTGTTAATATAACAGCAAAAGGAAACCCCGATAAACTAGTTTTACCGGGAAAGGCCCTCTGAGCTTCACTGTGGGGCTCTTTTGTCCAGAAGCAACCTGGCGATCACAAATGACGAGCTCAACTTCAGTAGCTTCTCATCACGTGCAAATATGTAGCGGCCAAATACGTTGATTATAAATATGGAGGGAAAAGAACTAGCGGACCCAGAGACAATCAACGCGACCACGGGGAGAGAGACATGCAAACTCCAACAATACAGCAGGCATCAGGGTCGGGATCGGGATCGAACCCATGACCTCCTGCATACCAGGCGAGGTAGTTAACATCTCGCCACCGTGGCACCCTCCACGATGTCTCCACACCCACTGGAGATGCGCTCGCAGTTTGTGAATTCATGAGCATCATCAGCCATGGTTAAAATTCATCAGCATCATCATCATCCCTCGCAACAGTGGCGTTTGGCTGGCAATTGAACAAATTATGTCACCGCATCGCGTACTTTCAGATGCCCTTCTTCCGCCCTCTGGAACGCTCTTCCTTCCGATGTTAGCAAACCATTCGAGCTCTGCGCTTTTAAATCTAAATTGACAACCCATTTCTTGAGAACTGCTTTTTGTGTTTAGTCTGTTGTCCTTCCCCCGCACCTCCAATTCACACGGTTAGCTACGTAAGATACCAACGAAGTTCAACATACATACGTACACCAACCACTGCTAGATGAAGGCCTCCCCCAAGCCGATGTTAATGTTGTTTGTTGTTGATGTTTGCGACAGCGAGCTGACGCCGTTTGGTGTCAGTGCCCGTTGGCTGGATCCGGACGTGAGCGCCTGCGAGGACATTGAGGGTAAGAGTTCGAGTCGCGGTCCGAGCCGGAGCATCGAGGTGGGCACGGTGCACAGACTGCCCCCCCCCCCCGCCATCATCACCGCCTCGGAAGCCTGTTTGCGAGTAGCCTTCATAGGTCCTGCTCGCGAACAGCACTTAGCCCAACAGTCTGTTCAGGCTATACGAGGTAGGGGGGGGGGTTGTGTTCTTTGTTGTACACCTGTGTACGTTTTGACGCACGTGTGTGTCTGTCTGTCTATGTGTGTGTGTGTGTGTCTGCGTGTGTGTGTCTGTGTGTGTGTCTGTGTGTGTCTGTGTCTGCATGTCTGTCTGTGTGTATCTACGTGTGTGGGGAGTGGTAGTGTAGCGGTTAGCGCGCTGCGCTACGAACCTGGCGACCCGGGTTCAATTCCCGCCCACAGCCAACACCAGCTACGATTATTTGACCCGGTCCTGGGCCTCCTCTAGGTCGACTCAGCCTGAAATGAGTACCTGGTGTGATGTGTAAACATCGCCACTGGGGAGACAAAGGCGGCCTGGCGTGGTGCTGGCCACCCACCCCCTCGTGTGCCGTGCCGGCCTTCATAGGTGCTCGCTAACAGCACTTGCCCCAACAATCTATTTAAGGCTATACGAGTGATCTTTATCTTTGCTTGTGTGTGTGTGTCTGTGTGTGTGTCTGTCTGCAGCCATCTGCCGGGAAGAGGTCAACGCGACGCGCGACAAAGGCATCTACAGCTGGCCCCAAACGCGGTCGCCGTTCAACGCCTCCGTGCCCTGTGCTCAGAACCCCAACCAGACGGCCACGCGCACCTGGTCAGCGACGATCGCGGCCCCATCTCTAGAACTAAGCTATCCGATGATGCTGGATGTAATTACCAGCGAAACGTCGTACTCAAACATTGTAAATGTTGTGGATTCACTATTCAACACACCGGTGGGCTAAAGCAGTGAACTATTTGTCTTTTGTCAACGTGACACTTTTTTGCTGATAGGCCGTGTCGGGTAGTGGAGGGTTACGACACATTTATATTAAAAAAACGCGATCTAACCAAAAAACGTTTATTATGAATAATATTTGACGTGAAAGCCTACGTGTTAAACTATCCCCCCTCTTCCCCCTCCACCCACCCGACTACACCAGCTTTGCCTCACTCGGTTGGTTTTTCTTCCCCCTCCCTCCGTTACCTCCGTCCCTCACTTGGTTGGGGCAGTGAAGGGCACTCACCCCCCCTCTCCCCAACACCTTTTACCTCCCGCCTCCTCCATACGGTTCAGTCACGTCGGGGGGTTATCGTCCGTGAATTACGACACCCGCTTGTGTGCTGTATCGGGCTCGCGTTTTGTTAATATGAAAGCAAAAGGAAACCCCGATAAACTAGTTTTACCGGGAAAGGCCCCCTGAGCTTCACTGTGGAGCTCTTTTGTCCAGAAGTGACCTGGCGATCACACATAACAAGTTCAACTCAGTGGCTTATCTTCATGTGGAAATTGATAATCGCCAAATACTCTGAACACGTGTTGTTGATTCTAAATATGGAGGGGAAAAAACTGGGGGACCCGGAGACAAATCCACGCGACCACGGGGTGAGAGACATGGAAACTCCAAAATGCAGCAGGCGTCAGGTTCGGCATCGAACCCACAACCTCCTGCTTACCAGGCGAGAGAGTTAACATCACCTAGCCACCGTGGCACCTACCACGATGCCTTCATGCTCATTGGGGTCGCTTCTCTCAGTTTGTTAATTCATCAGCATCATCAGCCATGGTCAAAATTCATCAGCAGCATCATCATCATCATCCCTTGCAGCAGCGGCTTTTGGGTGGCCATCGAACAAAAATGGTCACCGCGTCGCATGCTTTCAGATGTGCTTCTTGCGGCCGTCTGGAACGTTCTGCCTTCTGATATTAGGAAGCCACGGGAGCTCTGCACTTTAAATCTCAATTAAAAACTCAATTTCTTGGAACTGCTTTTCGTGTTTAGTTTCTTGTCCTTCCCCCCCGGTCGGTGAAAGACGATGCAAAATAAACTCAACATGCATACACAATCCACTGCTCGATGAAGGCCTCCCCCAAGCCGATTTTGATCGCGTCGTTGTTTGTTGTTGATGTTTGCAACAGCGAGCTGATGCCGTTTGGTGTCAGTGCCCAGTGGCTGGATGCGGATGTCAGCGCCTGCGAGGACATTCAGGGTAAGAGTTCGAGTCGTGGTCGCGGTCCGAGCCGGCGCGTCGAAGTGGACACGGTGTACAGACTGCCCCCCCCCCCATCACCCCCCCCCATCACCCCCCCCTCCCCCCCCATCACCCCCACCCCCTCCCCCCGCTTCATAAATCCCACTCAGCGATGTAAACGGGTTCACCGGTGCAGGTGTATGTACTCCCACCTACGAGACGTCTTTCCGGCGTGGAAGGCAAAACCCCAAATCCCGTCTAGGGACGGCTCTCTAGAGCTCCCGTCTGGTGTGAGACCTGTCCACCAGCGGTGTCGCGAGCAAGCAGTTGCAGGGCTGCACCTTTATCCCTCTCTGCCGTGCACCGGTGGGCAGTGGAAACGTTGGCGAGGGTTAAACGGCACTTGGAAAAATAGTTTGGTTGAAAGTTTCCTCTGGAAACGGGGGGGGTGGGAGTTGGGGGGGGGGAGTTGGGGGGGTGGGGATCAGGTGTCAGTGCGCGCAAAGCCTGCCCCGCTTGCGTTCATCCGTGTCGTGTTTATCTGAACGCCACTCTCTCTACGTGGGCGCGTCTGTACGCGCTCGCTCGCTCACGCGTGTGTGCACTCGCTCGCTAGCTCACGCGTGTGTGCATTTGCTCGCTCAAGCGTGTGTGCACTCGCTCGCTAGCTCATGCGTGTGTGCATTTGCTCATGCGTGTGTGCACTCACTCGCTCACTCGCTCACGTGTGTGTGCATGCGCTCGCTCGCTCACGCGTGTGCGCACTCACTCACTCGCTCACGCGTGTGTGCACTCACTCGCTCACGCGTGTGTGCATGCGCTCGCTCGCTCATGCGTGTGTGCACTCGCTCGCTCACGCGTGTGTGCACTCGCTCGCTCGCTCACGCGTCTGTACACGCTCTCTCGCTCACACGTGTATGCATTTGCTAGCTCACGCGTGTGTGCACTCGCTCGCTCGCTCGCTCACGTGTCCATGCACCTGCGCTACAAACCCAGTGGCCTGAGTTCGAATTCCGATTCCCGCTCGTGGCCAACAGCGGTGACAAATATCCGAACTGGTCTTGTGCCTCTCCTAGATCGACTCAGCCTAAAGTTAGTATCCAGTGTGGTGTGTAAACGTCGCCACTGGGGAGACAAAGGCGGTCGGGCGTGGTGCTGGCCACCCACCCCCTCGTGTGCCATGCCGGCTATCATAGGTGCTCGCTTACAACACTTGCCCCAACAGTCTACGAAAGCTACACGGCGGATCTACGTCTTTGTTTCTCTTCGCAGTGTTCTGTCGGTGGACCACAGCGGTCATCGCGGACAGAGGGGAGTACGAGTGGCCGTCGACGCAAGCTGGCCAGTCGGCATCCGTACCGTGCATGCAGAACCCCGAGAGTAACGCCACGATGCGATGGTACGCGGTCCGAGCGGTATCCACCGGGTGCGACGAGTCGTTGCGAAAGGGAACAGTGCCCTTCATCCAGCAGCGGAACGATAGCGGCCGATGAGCGTTGATTTTTTCGTCCTTTATTTAACCTGGGAGATGAATATACAACCCATTGAGTCGACACACAATGGCTGAATCCAAGGTCCCAGAGATACGGTGGCGGGATGTTAACTACCTTGCCTGGTACGCAGTAGGTCGTGGGTTCGATCCCGACCCTGACGCATGCTGTATATTTGGAGTTTGCGGTGTTTTTTCTCTCTCTTTCTCACCATCATCACGGTGGCTAGGAGATGTTAACTACCTCGCCTGGTACGCAGGAGGTCGTGGGTTCGATCCCGACCCTGACGCATGCTGCTGTATATTTGGAGTTTGCGGTGTTTTCTCTCTCTCTCATCCCGTGGTCATGTGGATTTTTCTCCAGGTCCTCCGGTTTTTCCTTCCACATTGAGAATTGACGTGCGTTCACGGTATTTGGCTGCTATAAATGTTACACCTTCATGATAAGCCACTTCGTTGAGCGATTATTTGTGGCCAGGTATAACTTCATGTTCTGATTCCGATTATTTTTCATGGCTCAACGATCACGTGGCTCTGATTGCTCGCTGGAGCTACGGCCCACCGGCCGGCTGGATTCATTATTATGTTCTGCAAATCATCCATCCTCGTCATTATCATCATCTTCATGCTACCTTTGCATGTGCTCTGAGACACGTTTTGTCTATCCCTCATTCTGCTTTTTAACTCCGAGTGACAAGAGTAGATCGAGTCCCGCGGGGCCGAGCCAGCGATGACTCGAGCTAGATCAGGCAAGAACACACGAATCTATTTCGCGCAAGGCCTTGCTCCCAACGTCCCTTCTGGGAGAGCAGAATTCCAGCAACGGCGATTCAGCGTGAGAAAAATAGAAAAATCCGCCGGGACTGCTTTCGACATCCCAGTGTCTCGTCAGCAGAGTCGGGCTCGCTCGAATCAGTGCTGGTGAACTGCCAGACGTTCGCCTTTTGGCGTTCTCTGGTCTCACACTGGTGAGAGACTAGGCCATAAAGAAGTCTGTCTCTGCTGTAGTCCAATCAATTTCAATGACAATGCTATATATTTATTATCGTAGTTTGTTTGCATGTTCACCGCAAGTGTGTGTGGTTAATGCGGACTTGATGCCTTGCAAAAGGTTTCTATTTGGTGGTTGAACATCTTAACACAACCGTTTTGTTTGCCAGAAAGGGTAACACCTATTCGTATTCGTCATGCCAGATGTTTATGGGCGAGGACCTCTCTCCCGTAAAGATATGGGTCCCGGCGATTATTAAAATCGTTCACACATTCCCGGCTCGCGTGGCGCACTGGGTAACGCGACACTTGTAAACTGTGCCGTGGGATCTGCAGTGTGCTCCGTTGAGCATGGGGGGAACGAGTGTTACGTGACTGCCGCATGTTTAGTTAATTCCGTCTCTCTCTCTCTGGTGTTGGACAGCGATCGGGAACCGTACGAGATTGTGCCTCGGTGGGCAGTGGCCAATGTCAGCAACTGCAACATCGTTACAGGTACATCCACTGCCAGGGCTACCCACGGCCATTGCGGGGAAATCTTTGGAGCTACGTCCTGGAAAATAACTTAATTACCCACGTACCTTTCTTTATTTTGTAATACAACTGCCGGCCTTGGCGAGCGTCAGTCGGTGAGTTCGACTCCCGCTTGCAGCCGTCATCGGATGACGAGCATCTGAACCCGTCACGGGCATCCCCTAGGGGTCGACTCAACCTCAAGCGACGACCTCGTGCTACACGTTCACATCGCCACGAGGCAGCCGGGCGTGATGTTGGCCACACGCACAACCTCATGTGCCGTGCCGGCCTTCGTAGGTGCCGCTCGCTGACGGCACTTTGCCCCGACAGTCTGTTGAAGGCTACGCCGCGGGTGCATGGGATCTTTTGCCTGTTGCGCAGCTTCGTGCCCCAACGAGACGACGCTGAGCGACAAGAAGGGGTCGTACGCATGGCCGTCGACGCCGCAGTCGTTCGAACACGTCCCTGCCGTGCCGGCAGAACCCCGAAAAGAACGCCACGCGCGCCTGGTGAGCGCCGCTTTGCGGGGGTTTTTTTGTGCCCGGCACCGATCGTCCTGGTCGAGTTCGTTTTAGTTTGTTTCGCGTGATATTTTCGTCGAGATAACGAGAAAGCTCTTCTCTTTCTCTCTGTCTGTCTGTCAGTGGCGATCCCCTGCCTCGCCATGCCAGGAAGTCAGGATCTCTCTCTCTCCCTCTGACCCCACCGTGTGGGACTCTCCACGCGTGCGATTCACGAGTTTGGCGGATTTTAAATTGCCGTCCGATTCTTACGACAAAAATAATCATCATAATCATACAGAATGAGAATATTATTCGTGCTGGAGGAATCCAATGAGCCTATGAAGCTCTTTTTCACAGGTGACCAGTAGGGGCACGACGTAAGCACGTTACAACAATATACAATACAAACACGTGATAGGAGTGCATGGCTGTCAACCCATACGGTTTACCCCGTATTTTTGTACATGGAAATTGAGTTTTCAGGTCCATACGGCGTACAGTCGTTTCAATACGGGCAAAAAAAAAGTGTTTTTCATCTATTTGTTTGTGTTTCTCCCTTGCGACGGGACTTTGTAGGATGAACGCTGAGATTTATAAGGGCACAGGGTAACCAATAAGGTCTGAATTTGGTCTGTAATAAGGTAGGGGGCACTGATAAGGGGTTGACAGGTATTGGAGTGCAAAGTACAAGAAAGGTAAAGATCACCCAAACACGTACAAATACAACACTAAATCATCCCCATCCTACCAGGCAAAGGCCACTGAAGAACTCAACTTAATTTTTCCGAAGCGACTTAGCTTGGACAAATGATAGCCACTCAACAAAAGTGGCTCATCACGTGGACATTCACAAGCAGCAACAATAACCTCAAAGCACATTTACAATTGAGTTGTCGCAGAAGCCAGCAACCACACGTTCACAGGTCGGTGATGATGTTAGAAAATAAACCGACGGAATTGTTCTTTGTCGTTTTCATTCTAACTTCGCTAAAGGGAGCTCTCGTATTTTTAAATCCTTTATATTAAGTTCGCTTGCTTGCTTACGACCGTGCAAATCTTTCGGTCGTTGTTGAACCCACTTCCCGTGATCCAATCGAGCTGACATTTTCCACACAGACTCGTTGTGCGTGACAATTAATGTTCGTGAAAATGTTTTTTTCCAAAATTTTACACTTTTTAGGACAAAAATATAATATTTAATTACCAATTGCTTAATGGTGCAATGCAATCGTCTGACCCATAAGTGGCAGCCATCTCAAGCCAGAGGACGAGAGGACTCTAGCCGCCACGCATATAAAGGATTTATAGTGAAAAACTTTGTTTTTACAGGTTATACTTGTTATCATCCTGTTTTCCTCCGCCGATCATCAAGAAGGGAGACGCGGCCTCGCTCGCCGTGCTAACAATCGCCGAAATCGGTTCCCAAAAAATATTTACGAAGAAACCATCCTGCGCGGGAACCAAAGCCCACATTTTTAAGGGGGGGGGGGGTGGTGAGAAGTGGTGGATGGGCGGCGGGGGGGGGGGGTGTAGAGGGAGGGGGGCGGGGGGTGGGCGTGGTGGGGGAAGCGATGTCCTGTTATGCATTGCATAGCCGATGGGCACTCTGCGGATCCCGATGAAATTGAAATGAAATACGCTTCCGTCGGCGTGCACGCTCCGACGTGAACCGTATCCTGTCATACGGACACACGAGATTAAACAAACGTTGGGGCCGCTCCTCGCATTTCTCGCGTGTCCTCTCTTCTCCCCCAAACCCCCCCCCCCCCCGAGCTGTCAAAATCCCGTCAAGCGCGGCCCACCCCTCCCCCCCCACCCCACCACCACGCGTATTTGCCTTAAAAGTGTGGAGAGATTACCGTCGAAAAATGATTATTCCCAGTGAGCAACACCTTATCTGTCCGAACACGCAGATGGCTCACGCGACGCTGGCGGTGGGAGGGGGGGTGACATAAAAAAGTATAATATAACATGGCCGGCCGAGCGAATCTTAACACTGGGATCACGTTTGTTTTTTTCAACAGCTATAAACATTTAATTTGGTTTTTTTTTCGCGGTGAAAACACGGGTGGGGGGGGGTAGAGAGACATATTTGCAAAGTCTCGTCCAGCCCGTGGCGTTTTGTTTACAATCGCAGACTATGAAACGGATTCTCTCGCTCGTGCCTGCTGCTCAAAAAATCGACAGCGACAAACCGGCGCACGAATGAGGCCCAAATTGTTCGATTTCGTGGAGCGATCACTTTGCTGCCGTCTTCGACGGATGTGGAAATGTCAGCAATTCGCGAGTGAGTTCCTGCTCGAATGAGCACTGAGGCATCGGCGCTATTCTCCCGTTTACAGGTCTGAGCCAGGGTGGAAATTCCACATACCTATGGCTGGCGGAGCGGGAGTGCAAGTCTATCCATAGGAGTAAAATCCATCGATAACATTGTTTATGATATTGATTAAGCCGTTTTACTGAATGTCAAGGAACTTTTTAAAGGAGGGTCCTGCACTGAACATTTTTGGCCAATTACATTTAATGAGCCCTTGGCTTGTGCGAGGAAACCGGATGACCTGGAGAGATCTCACGAAACACGTGGGGGGGGGGGGGGGGCTATCACTGCGACCTCCGCACAGATGGACTCAATAATCCATAGCTCAGCTTCCATCTCCTTGGCCACCTCGAAGTCACAGGGCAGCCTCTCGTCCCAGTACTCTCCCAAGCTTTAGCTCCCAGGCTCTGATGAGATCGCACACATTCCGGGTGATTTCGCCGCAAGCAATGCGGTGCCAGCGTTGTTCTCCATTGCCGATGATCTCGCTCGGGACTGAGGTGCGCCACGTTGGCTACGAGATGTTAACTACCTCGCCTGGTACGCAGGAAGGTCGTGGGTTCGATCCTGACCCTGACGCCTGCTGCTGCTGCTGTATATTTAGAGTTTGCGGTGTCTCTCTTTCCCCGGGGTGGATTCTTCTCCGGGTCCTCCAGTTTTTCCCTCCACATTTAGAAACGCGCGCTTAGAGTATTTGGTTGCTCGACATTTTCACGTGATGAGCCACCTTTTTGAGCTATCATTTGTGGCCAGGTCGCTTCTGGGAAACGGCTAATAGCTCAGTCGGCCTTACCTGGTGAAATAAATATCTAAACTTCCTTTTCCATTTTTCTCTCTCTCACCTCAGCCCTCTTTAAATTTCATCCCCACCCTCTCGCCCGTTACGGCCTCCCCTTCCCCCCCCTCCTCCCCCCTCTCGGATCTATATAATGCGTCCTCACAAAGGCATGCTTCTCTCTCTCACCTCAAAACGATTGCTTGTTGTTGCGATCGAAACGTCGTGATCTATTATTTATTTCCCTATCTACGTGACTTTACCGAAAGAACCAAAGAGTATGAATTCCTGCAGTCACGAAAGCTTCAAATCAAGAAATAAATGTTTTTTTTAGCTTAGTTTCTGATATGTCCACATCTAGAGAAAACTCACTGTTGAAACCACGCGCATATGTACCGCACTGGGTGGTGGGCGGTTAAATGGTCAGGGCGGATAATGTGACTTTGGACTGGAGTTGCGCGGCCGGTGAAATAATGTGGCAAGTTTCTTAAATCCAACCCCCTCCCCTCCTGCCTCTGCCCACTCAGCAGCATCAGCGTGTACCGCCGCAGTTAGTCGATACTAATCATAATACCAACATTAAACACATTCCTGCGGAGGGAGCTGGTAGGAACGTTGGGTTGCTCGGTCAATGGCCAGGGTCAACGGCGGCGTGGTGTATTCCACAAATATGCCCGACTGTGTGGGCGGGCACAAGCCGGCGTGAGTAGGTTAAACGTTGAGTTATATAAGGGCACCACGGGGTGACCAGCCCCTCCCCACCCAGCCCCACCCTCCCCACCCTCTCCTCCCCACCCTCCCCACCCAGCCCCTTCCCACCCTCCCCTCCCCACCCAGCCCCCACCCAGCCCCTCCCATCCTCCCCACCCCACCCAGCCCCACCCTCCCCACCCAGCCCCTCTCTGCACGACGGATGGACACAATAATCCCCTGTGGGCTGGTGTAACCAGGAGGTTCCTACCAGTATCATTTTACATTTATAAGGCACAATTCATCTGGGGATCTCTGTGTGCGCCACGCACGACGTTAGGAAATATAAATGCTACAGAGATCGGCATGTCGCGAGCGGTGGGACAAAGTTGCGGTGGGTACGTCCACCTATTCCGACACGCTTCTGACCAACTTGGTAGGCCAAATGACCCCTCCGGTGGCTCGCTGTTGTGGAGGCGGGCGCGATCGAGCGGTCACGTGACTGCGCCCTCACCACGCTTTGCCCCCCCGACCCTTTTTTGCTCCGACCCCACAGCCACCGGCCGCACTACACCACGGACGCCGAGTGGCAGGAACCCGACCTCGGCGACTGCGTCGAACTCTTCGGTGAGACAAGCGCTCGCGTGGTGCGTGCATGATGTGTGTGTGTGTGGTGCGTGTGTGCGTGCGTGTGTGTGTGTGGTGCGTCTGTGCGTGCGTGTGTGTGTGGGTGCGTGTGGTGCGTCTGTGCGTGTGTGTGTGGTGCGTGTGTCTGTGGGTGCGTGTGTGGGTGCGTGCGTGTGTGTGTGCGTGCGTGGTGCGTGTGCGTGGTGCGTGCGTGTGTGTGTGTGTGGTGTGTGTGTGCGGGTGTGTGTGCGTGTGTGTGGGTGGGTGCGTGTGTGCGTGCGTGTGTCTGTGGGTGCGTGTGTGCGTGCAACTTCTTTCGCGCCGCACCTCGCTAATCGGAGGGTGACGGAGCCGAACCTCGCTAATCGGACGGCTGACCCGTTCGTGCCCGCACTCGTCTCGCGCGGAAATCCTTGACGTCCCGGTGCCTCGCAGGACAGCCGGGCCGGGCCAGGCTGGGTTGGGCAGGCGAACCGGTCCGCGGCCAGCGCTTTCCCCCGGCTCAACTCGGTGTAAACCGACACACGCGTCGGTCCGTTTCGCCGCGCCCCTTGGCAAGAAGAATGCAGCGGCTTAGATGTGCGGCGCTCGCGGCGGAATTAGCTCCTGGATCCCAGGGGGGGGCGGGGGGGATGCAGCGGCGACGCTGGAAACCTTTGCGCGAGGGGTTAGAATTTTTCGATTTAAAGCTTTCGTGACTGCAGGGATTCATCTTCTTGGTTCTTTCGGTAAAGTCACGTAGAAGGGAATTAATACAATAACAAAAATAAAACATTAAAAAAAAATGTATTATTATTTTTATTATGATTTATTTTTGTTATTTTATTACTTCCCTTCTACGTGACTTTACCGAAAGAACCAAGAAGATGGGTTAGAATTTGTCGGTGCCTCGCTCGCGTTCAAAGGGCGAGCGCGACGATGGTGTTAGAGAGACAGAGCGAGCACCCAGCGAACGCTCGCCCAAGGGGAGAACGCGCCACCGTTCTCCCCTTCGCTCCAGCACCCCCGCTCCGAACGCGGGCGGCGTGGCCCGTCGCGTTCGCAAATGGCCAACGGAGGCGGGTCTCGCCGAAGTACCGCTGAGATGCCTTCGCGTGATCCCCCCTTGTGCGCCTTTTGGCGTCATCTGGTCCAACCCATGTGAGACTAGGCTCTAAGGAAAGCTGTCTTGAGTGTGGACCAATCAACTTCAAGGACAGTGCATACATTATCAGAGTTGTGTTTTCTGTTTACATTATGACTGCAGGTATTGTGGTCTATGCAAACATGACTCCTCGTAAAAAAGGTGTCAGTTTTGTTGCCAGATTAAAGGGTAAAAAAACAATTATCATGACCTCCCCTGGTTCACGGAGTAAGGGGGGTGGGGGGGCAGCGATTTCCCGGCCGCCCTGCCACGCCAGAGAGTGATGCCCGTCACGTGACAGTAAAAGTGCAATGTTCTATATTCCCAGGGCTGGTATTTCACCAAATTAAGTGCAGGTCCACTTCTTTTTTTTTCGACGCGATGGTTGTTTTGTGCGGTCATTGGTGACCGGGCCGAGACCACCACGTCGCTGCACTTGAGGGCCCTGTTTAGTCACTCGCGGCTGGAGGCCCGGATTCCAACCCAGCAATCAGCAGCACCGTACCAGCGCCAGACAGATGGAGAGACACATGAAGGGAGACTTGGATGAACGGACGGACAGGCTGTGCTTTTCCATAAACGGAGAGCCTGGAAACTTCTAGATTTTAAGTTTTCGTGACTGCAAGGATTCATACTCTTAGTTTTTTCGGTAAAGTCATGTAGGTAAAAAAAAATTCAATTAAAATAAATAATAAAAATCACGACGTTTCGGAGGCAACACAAGTCTCCGTCATCAGGTGGGACCGTCACAGCCAGATTTGCTGTATCAAGTGAGGCAGGGATTCCAAGATGCAGCCTGGAAACTATGTTTTGTTCTCTCTCATGGTTTCCCGATCCCCCCCCCTCCTCTCTCCTCCTATTCGCCCCCATCACGTAAAGAGCTCTTCAACTCGAATGTGACGATGGCGTTTTTGACCAACAACAGTCAACTGAGTGAGGAAACGGTCAAAACCGAGGTGACCTCGTGGGTGAGTTTGCTGTTATCACTGCTACCATGGTAACCGTTTCCTACTGCTGCTACCATGGTTACCATTCCTTGTCACTGCTATCATGCTCCCTATCACTGCTACCATGGTTACCATTCCCGATCACTGCTACCATGGTTACCGTTCCCTGTCACTGCTACAATGTTCCCTGTCACTGCTGCCATGGTTACCATTCCCTGACATTTCTATCATGGTTACCATTCCCTGTCACTGCTACCATGGTTACCATTCCCTGTCACTGCTACCATGGTTACCGTTCCCGTGAACTCCACGGGTTGATTCCTCCAGCCGTGTCTCTACCAGACACTGACTGTTTTGACTCATCCACAACATGGGGTTCAACCACCACCACACTGCAGGTCACAGTAACATAGTCACCCACTCACTCACCCACTCACTAACTCGCTCACTCACCCACTCACTCACTAACTCGCTCACTCACCCACTCACTAACTCACTCACTTACCCTCGCCCACTCACCCACGCACTCACCACAGGTCACAACACACTCACCCACTCACTCACCCACTCACTTGCTCACTCACTCACCCACTCACTCACTCACCCTCACCCACTCACTCACCGCAGGTCACAACACACTCAGCCACTCACACACCCACTCACACACCCACTCACACACCCAATCACTCACCCTCACCCACACACTCACCGCAGGTCACAACACACTCAGCCACTCAACCACCCACTCACACATCCACTCACTCACCCTCACCCACCCACTCACCACATCTTCCCTCTCACTGCTCCGCTGTGGAATTCCCTCCCCATAATCTCTACTCCCTCCTCATCCCCCAAGCTATATTAATAATAACCTCGCTTGGTTTAAGAAACGCGTTAAACTCTTTGTCTTTTACTACTTGGATAAGCAGTGCTCTGTGTTTGCTAGCTTCTTACTCAGCAATGGCATTTGTTGAATTAAAGAGCAGAATGATTTTATTTTTTTCATATTCATGCCGTTATATTTCGCTCGACTCTACGATCTCGTCTCCCTCTCTTTGACGTTCGCTGCTATGATGTCCTGTGTCAAGTCTCGATGCGCGTCTATATAAATGCATGTGCGCACTCAAATCGCCTGACAGGGGGCATCGGCTCACTCAATGGATTATGATTATCAGCTTGTATCAAAACTAAAAATGTTTTTATGGTTCGGTTTGCAGGTGAAAAATGATCTGAAAGGGACACTCAACTACACCGTGGACTTGAAGTACATCAGGTGCGTGCCGATTCATCTTCATCTTCATCATCTTGTGTACGGCTGCTGATGTAGATGCAGAGACAACGGCTACAATTTCACATTCCAGCTGGTCAAGCCCCGATAACCGCGTCGGAGCCAGCGGAGTGTGTCATCGCCGTGAAGTGTCCGTCGGGCGCTGCGTCGTTGTGCGTTGCACTCCGGGCTCTGTTCTGCATGACCACGGCGCTTGTGCCAGGCCATGCACAGTCCCCGTGATCTCTGAGTCACCTTAAGACGGTGTCAGATTCCAGCGATGAGAAACGAAACGTCCAGTCACGCCCGACGTCACCTGACAATGGGAGCTGCAGGGTGTGTCCTCGCGTGCGCGCTTCTGTTCGCACGCATGTGTGTGGCTGCCCGTGCATGTGTGCGTGTGTGTGTGCGTGCATGCGTGTGTGTGTGTGTGCGTGTGTGCGTGCGTGTGTGAGTGAGTGAATGCACAAGCGGCAGTGCAGCGATCAGCGCGCGGCGCTACGAACCCGGCGACCAGAGTTGGGTTCCCGCTCACGGCCAACACCCAGTGACGATTATCTGAAACGGTCCTGGGCCTCCCCTAGATCGCGACTCAAATGAGTACCTGGTGTGGCGTGTAAACGTCGCCACTAGGGAAGACAGAGGCGGCCGGGCGTGGCGTTTGGCCACCCACCGCCCTCGTGTGCCGTTGCCAGCCTTCACAGGTGCGACTCGCTAACAGCACTCGCCCCGACAGCCGTGTTGAAGGCTATACGGGGGATCTTTGTCTTTGCGGGTGAAGGCGTACCTGTTACCTGGTTTGACCCGACGAAGGATGATGCCCAGGGGAAGGGAGGAGGGGTGTGGGGGGGGAATTCAGAGGTTCGCTGTATGAGCCCCCCCCCACCACTCCGGCCTCACCCCCCCCCCCCACCCAAAACTGGCGGCTGTCTTAACCGCGAAGTTAATCGACGAAGGGAGTAGAGTATGTCCGAAGATTTGACGCATCTAAAAAAAACACACACACACACAAATTGCTTCGTTTGGGACAAGCCACGAAGCGAACGTCGCCCGCTTAGCGGCAGAGGCTTTGCCCTGCACGCAGGCCGGCGATGGGACAGTCGCCGCTGGGTGCAGCCCTTGGCTGGACTGCAGCCGGGGGTCTCGTTCGTTGGGAACAACGGCACAGCAACGTCCAGAGACGAGCACAGGACCACGTGCTTGTCTCTCGAAGCCGTGGCGGCGCATTCCTCCGTGCTAAGCCCGTCATCGTCTTCTTCTTTCGTATGCCGTTGTGAAAAGCAGCCGTTTTTATTTAAACGATGAATGCAAAGGTTGTCCTCGTCCAGTCCAATGAGGTGGTTGACGCAGCGCGGATTTCAGCGACACAGCCACGAGATGCGTGGATTGGAGCATTCATCGGTGATGTGCTCGATGGTTTGCTAAGCCCCGTGAGTGCGGGAGATCGCTTTGCGAATGGCACAGGCGTGCCCTCTCGCGCGATCACGACCGCCGTCTAATTCGAGCGAAATGTTCCCCTTGTTTTCAGCGTGACGAGACAAGGAAAAGTGCGAGTGCGGCGTGCGGTAAGTTTTGCACCGTTGGAGAGACTCTTTTTCGATTTAAAGCTTTCGTGACTGCAGGGATTCATCTTCTTGGTTATTTCGGTAAAGTCACGTAGAAGGGAAGTGAGGACGGCTGCTTGCGTTGTGGCCGAAACGTCGTGAGAATTATTGTATTATGCTTTATTTTTATTATTTTATTATTTCCCTTCTACGTGACTTTACCGAAAGAACCAATAAGATGAGTTTAGAGACTCGTCAGAATCTCCGTTTATACCGCCGGAGGAGGAGGGATCCCAGGCGCTATGAAGCTCTTTTTTGCCACAGATGTCCAGCAGTTATGTTGTTGATAACGCTGCTGCTGCATTCGTAGTGGTGCGCAAGCACAAACAACAACAAACAACAACAAAACACGACATGTTCCTCGTCAATAATGCCGTGCTCTTAAAAGTAAAAAAAAAAAAAAATTTAATAGCACATGGTTCATTTCTGACACGTCCCTATGACGTCTCTAATGTGCATTTGAGCATGGCTGACGATAATAATGATCACATCATCTCGCCTGGACATACACGGTCATGGATATGCATGACACTATACCTTGGCTGTTGATGTGTGCGTGTATTTTGAACTTTCTCATCGTGCCGTAATCGTGGGTGATCAGATCCCGTTAATATTCAAGGTCTCTTCTTTTTCAAATGAACTCTAAAGAAAGTTTAAAGTTATTTCCTGCTCGAATGAGCACTGAGATCAGTGCCCATCTCCCATTTACAGGTCTGAGCCAGTGGCGGAAATTCCACATTGTCATGGCGGGCAGGGAGGGAAAAGTTTATCCAATCGGAAAACCACTATTGACTTCCCCAACAATGTGGTACAGTACTTATTTTATGGATTTTATGGACACCCCCCCCCCCCCCCGAGAGGAATGACAAGATATGATGGGGTCGAGTAAATCCCTCCAAGAGGAAATTGAAAACACGCAACCGGCAGATCGGGATCCTCCTCGCTGTGCCCCACCAGGTCCCACGTGTCATTGGGCGCGTCCGTTTTCAAACGAACGGGCGCATCGCGAACGCAATCGGTCATCGTTGACGGCTGCTGCCCGCGTGTGTTTCTCTTTGTCTCTCTCCGTAGACGGACGAGCTGTGGAAGTAAGCCGGCGGCGGGAGGGGGGGTGGGGGACGCACGCAAACAGAGCAATCGTGGCCACGAGCGACACCGCGGAATCGTTCACAAGCGCGCTCGCCCCGAATCTCACCGCCGCCCGCGGTGGTGGTGGTGGTGGTGCAGCAGTCGGGGACGCGTCGCTGGACTCGCAATCCAGAGGGCGGCACCGGTTCAATTCCACCTCCCAATTCCATTGGCAGAGGGCACCGGTTCAATCCCATCTCCCTATTCCATCGGCAGAGGGCACTGGTTCAATCCCATCTCCCTATTCCATTGCCAGAGGGCACTGGTTCAATTCCACTTCCCTATTCCATTGCCAGAGGGCACTGGTTCAAGTCCACCTGCCAATTCCATTGCCAGAGGGCACCGGTTCAATTCCACTTCCCTATTCCATTGGCAGAGGGCACCGGTTCAATTCCACCTCCCAATTCCATTGCCAGAGGGCACCGGTTCAATCCCATCTCCCTATTCCATTGGCAGAGGGCACTGGTTCAATCCCATCTCCCTATTCCATTGGCAGAGGGCACCGGTTCAATTCCACCTCCCTATTCCATTGCCAGAGGGCACCGGTTCAATTCCACCTCCCTATTCCATTGCCAGAGGGCACCGGTTCAATTCCACCTCCCTATTCCATTGGCAGAGGGCACTGGTTCAATCCCATCTCCCTATTCCATTGGCAGAGGGCACCGGTTCAATTCCACCTCCCAATTCCATTGCCAGAGGGCACCGGTTCAATTCCACCTCCCAATTCCATTGCCAGAGGGCACCGGTTCAATTCCACCTCCCTATTCTATTGGCAGAGGGCACTGGTTCAATCCCATCTCCCTATTCCATTGGCAGAGGGCACCGGTTCAATTCCACCTCCCTATTCCATTGCCAGAGGGCACCGGTTCAATTCCACCTCCCAATTCCATTGCCAGAGGGCACCGGTTCAATTCCACCTCCCTATTCCATTGGCAGAGGGCACTGGTTCAATCCCATCTCCCTATTCCATTGCCAGAGGGCACCGGTTCAATTCCACCTCCCAATTCCATTGCCAGAGGGCACCGGTTCAATTCCACCTCCCAATTCCATTGCCAGAGGGCACCGGTTCAATTCCACCTCCCAATTCCATTGGCAGAGGGCACTGGTTCAATCCCATCTCCCTATTCCATTGGCAGAGGGCACCGGTTCAATTCCACCTCCCAATTCCATTGCCAGAGGGCACCGGTTCAATTCCACCTCCCTATTCCATCGGCAGAGGGCACTGGTTCAATCCCATCTCCCTATTCCATTGCCAGAGGGCACCGGTTCAATTCCACTTCCCTATTTCATTGCCAGAGGGCACTGGTTCAAGTCCACCTCCCAATTCCATTGCCAGAGGGCACCGGTTCAATTCCACTTCCCTATTCCATTGCCAGAGGGCACCGGTTCAATTCCACCTCCCTATTCCATTGGCAGAGGGCACCGGTTCAATTCCACCTCCCAATTCCATTGCCAGAGGGCACCGGTTCAATCCCATCTCCCTATTCCATTGGCAGAGGGCACTGGTTCAATCCCATCTCCCTATTCCATTGGCAGAGGGCACCGGTTCAATTCCACCTCCCTATTCCATTGGCAGAGGGCACCGGTTCAATTCCACCTCCCTATTTCATTGGCAGAGGGCACTCGTTCAATCCCATCTCCCTATTTCATTGGCAGAGGGCACCGGTTCAATTCCACCTCCCTTTTCCATTGGCAGAGGGCACCGGTTCAATTCCACCTCCCTATTCCATTGGCAGAGGGCACCGGTTCAATCCCATTTCCCTATTTCATTGGCAGAGGGCACTCGTTCAATCCCATCTCCCTATTTCATTGGCAGAGGGCAATGGTTCAAACCCACCTTCCAATTTCATTGCCAGATGGCACCAGTTCTTATTATTCCATCTCCAACACAAACCTGGCGACCCGACTTTGATTCCCGCTCACGGCCAACACCAGTGAAGGTTATTCCTGGGCCTCTACTAGGTCAACTCAGCCTCAAATGAGTATTTTACAATTGACAGAAATACACAGGCATTCCTCGATTAAGGCCTCTTAAGCTTGTCACGGCTTCAGGGCCACAGCGGCGTCATGATTCTTGCCCTGGATGCACACGCGGCGAGATGCATGCGCCTCATTCTCCTCTCCTGTCTCGCCCCTTGCCCCACGCGTCGGCTCCCAGCTTCACGGTGACCATGATGCTGGAGATGCGGAGGGCGGGCAATGTCGACAACATCGCAGCCATTGTCAACATCTCCGGCGAAATCCGCAGCCAGCTCAGCTCCACCATCGTCAACCTCAAGCCCCGGCTGGAGAGGTTGCTCGGAGTCAACACCATCCAGCTGGACGTACCCTCCGTGGGGAACGCGAGTAAGCCGCCCGCGCCTGCGACGTTCATCGTGTTCACACGTGGCGAGAAAAAAAAAGTGTCAGTTTTGTTGCCAGATAAAAGGGTAAAAAACCAATTGTCATATTTTGCTACTGGCAAAGGAGGTTCCTATGATGTGGCAAGATGTTGACGACCTCACCTGGTGTGCAGGAGGTTGTGGGTTCGATCCCGACCCTGACGCCTGCTGCTGTATATTTGGAGTTTGCGTGTCTCTCTCTCTCATCATCATCACGGTAGCTAGGAGATGTTGACGACCTCGCCTGGTGTGCAGGAGGTTGTGGGTTCGATCCCAACCCTGACGCCTGCTGCTGTATATTTTGAGTTTGCTGTGTCTCTCTGTCATCATCACGATGGCTAGGAGATGTTAACTCCCTCGCCTGGTGTGCAGGAGGTAGTGGGTTCGATCCCGACCCTGACGCCTGCTGCTGTATATTTTGAGTCTGCGGTGTCTTTCTCTCCCCGTGGTCAAGTGGATTTTTCTTTGGGTCCTCCGATTTTCACCTCCTTCACTTCTAGAATCAACATCACGCATTTAGAGTATTTGGCTGCTATAAATATCGACATGAGAAGACACTTCTTTTAGCTATCATTTGTGGGCAGGTCTCTTCTGACAAAAGAGCTAGATAGCTCAGTGGGCCTTATCTGGTCAAGTAAAAGTTTTAGTTGTATAGATTAGTTCAGGTGTGTTGGACCGAATAGATCTGCGCGCAAATTTGTAACGCGCGCTCAGTTTGTCGCGAGATCTAGAGGCACGGGAGCAATCGTGGACGAACGGCGAGGGCAGCCGGAGTTGGCGCCACCAATTTGCCTAAGCGGCCTGTGGCACCGTATAAGGATGTTTTGGCCAATTCCGTCCATGAGCGTTTGGACACACGGGAAGAAAACCAGAGGCACCCGGACAAAACCCACGCGCGCAAAGTGGGGAAACCCTCAAAACCCCTTCCACACATGTAATACAGATGGGAGTGAACCCACCCTCGCTTTTAATTCCGCCGCACGCTGGCAAGCCAGGAGATGGCGACCTCACAGCCCAACGGGTTTAGAAGTTGTGTGACCTAAGGGGTTGGAGCGGTAGTGTAGCAGTTAGCACGCCGCGCTACGAACCTGACGGCCCGAGTTCGATGCCCGCTCATGGCCAACACCAGCGACGATTATCTCCAACGGGTTCCGGTCCTGTGCCTCCCCTAGGTCGACTCAGCTTTAAATGAGTACCTGCTGCAGACTGGGGAGACAAAGGCGGCCAGGCGTGGCGCTGGCCCTCCACCCCCTCGTGTGCCGTGCCGGCCTTCATAGGTGCTGCTCGCCAACAGCACTTGCCCCAACAGTCTATTAAGGCGACGCGGTAGGGGGCTGGGCGATCTTTGTCTTTGTTTTGACCTGGCGCTCGACTCACTGTGGTGAACCCGCTCACACCGCTGGGGCTGGACAGGCGCAGATGTGTTGGCGATCTCCACCGTGCGCAGCGCTGCAGGGGAAGAGAATCACCATCAGAATCCTCAATTTAAACCCTCGAGCCCCACTGAGCTACACAGCTTTGTTTTCAGAAGCGACCTGGCGCACACAAATGATAGCTCAACGAAGTGGCTTGCCATCATCATCATCATCACGTGGAAATGCATAGCAGCCAAATACTCTGAGCGCGTGACGTCGATACTAAATTTGGAGGGAAAAACCTGAGAACCCGGAGAAAAATCCACGCAAGCACGGGGACAGCGCGCAAATTCCAAATATACAGGAGTCGGGGTCAGGATCGAACCCACGTCCTCCTGTATACCGGGCGAGGTAGTTAACATCTCCTAGCCACCGTGGCGCCCTTTAGACTGGAGGAATCCGATGAGCTGTGAAGCTCTTTCCACAGGTGTCCAGTATGGGCACGGGGTCAGCGAGTTACGACCAACAAACGACGCATAACGCGCTCAACGATAGCCAGCAAGCAAGTCAGTGAGCGTCATTCATCACTGCTTCTAATATCAGTCCGATTTATCAGGATTTGGCAAGGCAGAAAAAAACAACAGCGAGAGCAGACCACAGCAAGATTGCGCAGCAGCAGCAGCAGTCCCTCAACAAGAAGACAGCATCACGACAGCGTCACGACAGCGTCACGACAGCGTTACAACAGCGGAGTGGCGCTCGACTTTGCCGGCGCTGCCGGCCCGCGCTTTGCTGCCCCCACGGTGAGCGGCGGTGTTTTTCACCGCTCTCTATCCCCCCCCCCACCCGCCCTGACGCGTCGGCCTGCTTGTCGCCCCGCAGTGTACTGCCTCGGCGAGACTCTGGTCAACATCAAGGGGGTGTTCCGCTGGCCCACGGTGAACGTCGGTGGCACCGCCGTCATCGCGTGCCCCATCAACAAGGACAAGAGCGTCTCGCGACAGTGGTGAGGTCGCGCTTTGCCCTGCACGCGGGTAACACATTGTCCTGCGGAGAGGGCTGGTAGGAACGTTGGGTTGCTCGGTCAATGGCCAGGGTCAACGGCGGCGTGGTGTATTCCGCAAATATGCCCGACTGTGAGGGCGGGCACAAGCCGGCGTGAGTCGGTTAAACGTTGAGTTTTATAAGGGCACCACGGGGTGACCAGCCCCTCCCCACCCAGCCCCACCCCGCCCACCCCCCACCCAGCCCCTCCCCTCCCCAGCCAGCCCCTCCCTCCCCACCCAGCCCCTCCCCACCCTCCCCTCCCCACCCAGCTCCACGCTCCCCACCCAGCCCCACTCTCCCCACCCTCCCCTCCCCACCCAGCCCCTTCCTGCACGACGGACGGACGGACACAAGAATCCCCTGTGGGCTGGTGGAACCAGTGGGTTTCTACCAGTAAATGGTAAACGTCGTCGTCGTTGGTTTACCACGCAGGCTTTCGCGACCAATATCCATGATGGAGGCTTTTTTGTGGGTGAGAGCATGTCAATACCACCAACCCGCCACAGCCAATTAGTGAGGTTAGTCAGGTCAACGTGTTTTGTTGACGTGACAAACCCCCTCCAACTCCGTGAAGCGTGTGAAGATTCGGTTCCAGGGTAAAACTCGCTTACCACGTGGTTGTTCACGCCGTCACGAGTTTTCGCTGTGACGCGGTTCTTCCACGAGCGAACACTTTTTGCAAAACGCGTAACTCGTGCCGTTATAACGCGGAAACGTGGCCGTTATAATGCGGTTTCTGAGCGGTTGACTGTTAAACAAGGACTTGCCAGGTGTGTGGACGTTAAACGAGGACTTGCCAGGTGTGTGAACGTTAAACGAGGACTTTCCAGGCGTGTGGACGTTAAACGAGGACTTTCCAGGCGTGTGGACGTTAAACGAGGACTTGCCAGGCGTGTGGACGTTAAACGAGGACTTGCCAGGTGTGTGAACGTTAAACGAGGACTTGCCAGGTGTGTTAACGTTAAACGAGGACTTTGCCAGGTGTGTGAACGTTAAACGAGGACTTGCCAGGTGTGTGGACGTTAAACGAGGACTTGCCAGGCGTGTGGACGTTAAACGAGGACTAGCCAGGCGTGTGAACGTTAAACGAGGACTTGCCAGGTGTGTGAACGTTAAACGTGGACTTGCCAGGCGTGTGAACGTTAAACGAGGACTTGCCAGGTGTGTGGACGTTAAACGAAGACTTGCCAGGCGTGTGAACGTTAAACGAGGACTTGCCAGGCATGTGAACGTTAAACGAGGACTTGCCAGGTGTGTGGACGTTAAACGAGGACTTGCCAGGCGTGTGAACATTAAACGAGGACTTGCCAGGTGTGTGGACGTTAAACGAGGACTTGCCAGGCGTGTGAACGTTAAACGAGGACTTGCCAGGCGTGTGAACGTTAAACGAGGACTTGCCAGGTGTGTGAACGTTAAACGAGGACTTGCCAGGCGTGTGAACGTTAAACAAGGACACGCCAGGCGTGTGAATGTAACCGCGTGCCGTGTTAAGTGATTAACGCACACGTGGTCTGTCGCCACTTTCAGCATGAAGGTGAACGAGTACTCCTCCTCGTGGCAGCCGATCGACGCCGACGTCTGTGATGTTCCACGTGAGCCTCGACTCAGCGCTCACAAACCACTCACTGCTGATGCTCATGATGCTTGCGGTGATGATATTGGTGGTGGAGTTGGTGGTGATACTGCTGACGATGATTGTGATGATCGTGATAATGGAGGTGGTGGTGGTGGTGATGCTGATTGTGGTGATGATAATGGTGGTGATGCTGCTGATGATGATTGTGATGATCATGATAATGGTGGTGGTGGTGGTGATGCTGCTGATGACTGCTTGCGGTGATGATATTGGTGGTGGAGTTGGTGGTGATGTTGCTGACGATGATTGTGATGATCGTGATAATGGAGGTGGTGGTGGTGGTGGTGGTGATGCTGATTGTGGTGATGATAATGGTGGTGATGCTGCTGATGATGATTGTGATGATCGTGATAATGGAGGTGGTGGTGGTGGTGATGCTGATTGTGGTGATGATAATGGTGGTGATGCTGTTGATGATGATGATTGTGATCATTGTGTTGGTGGTGTTGTGATGATGCTGCTTATTTTCACGAGGAAGAAAAAGATCATCGTGCTGCTGCTGCTACTACTGCACTGCTGCTGCTGATGATGACAATAATACTAATACTGTTTCTGCTGCTTATAATGATGGGGATGGTGATGATAACGATTATAATGGTAGTACGATTTCTGATGATGATATTGAAGATAACGAAATTGCTATTACTATCGCTAAAGATGCTGCTGATAATGATGATGCCTCTGATGCTGCTATTGCTGCCAAGGATGCTGCTGCAGTTTTGCTGATTATGATTATAATCTTCATCATCATAAGCTTCGGCTGAATCTCCTGCTGCTAATACAATTGCCTCTGATGCTTTTGACGATGACGACACCGACACACAAACTGAGAACAACGCCGCCACTACCGCCACCGCGACCACCACGACCACCACCATCACCACCACCACCACCACCACCATCACCACCACCGTCATCACCATCATCACCATCATCACTACCACCACTGTCATCACCACCACCATCATCGTTACCACCAATGCCATCACCTCGACCACTACCATCCCCACCACCACCATTGCCACCACCACCACCACTACCACCATTACCGCCACTGCCACCACCGTCACCACCACGACCACCGCCACCACCATCACTACTACTGCCACTACCGCCAACACCACCACAAACACCATGACCACCACCACCACTACCACCACTACCACCACTACCACCACTGCCACCATCGTCACTACTGCCACCATCACGACTGTCACCACCACAACCGCCGGTACCACCACGACCATCACCACCACCACTACCACCACGACCATCACCACCACCACCACTACCACCACTACCACCACCACTACCACCACTACTAACACCGCGACCACCACCGCGTGCCCCCGCGCAGTGCTGGAGAACATGGACAGCAAGTCGGCGGAGGACGTGAGTAAGGAGATGGATGGGCTGATGGCGCTGCTGGAGCAGAGCCCCACCATCTCCGTGAAGGGCGCACAGATGGTCGCCACTCGCTTCAGCAGCATCCTGGACGCGCCGTCCAGCTCGCTGGCCAACTCGTCCGAGAGGTGAGCGGCGTTCGCTCGCGTTCGTGTGTGCGTTCGTGAGTGCGTTCGTGAGTGCGTTCGTGAGTGCGTTCGTGTGTGCGTTCGTGAGTGCGTTCGTGTGTGCGTTCGTGGGTGCGGTCGTGAGTGCGTTCGTGAGTGCGTTCGTGAGTGCGTTCGTGAGTGCGTTCGTGAGTGCGTTCGTGTGTGCGTTCGTGTGTGCGGTCGTGAGTGCGTTCGTGAGTGCGTTTGTGAGTGCGTTCGTGAGTGCGTTCGTGAGTGCGTTCGTGAGTGCGTTCGTGTGTGCGTTCGTGAGTGCGTTCGTGTGTGCGTTCGTGGGTGCGGTCGTGAGTGCGTTCGTGAGTGCGTTCGTGAGTGCGTTCGTGAGTGCGTTCGTGAGTGCGTTCGTGAGTGCGTTCGTGAGTGCGTTCGTGAGTGCGTTCGTGTGTGCGTTCGTGTGTGCGTTCGTGAGTGCGTTCGTGAGTGCGTTCGTGAGTGCGTTCGTGAGAGCGTTCGTGAGTGCGTTTGTGTGTGCGTTTGTGAGTGCGTTCGTGAGTGCGTCCGTGAGTGCGTTCGTGTGTGCGTTCGTGAGTGCGTTCGTGAGTGCGTTCGTGTGTGCGTTCGTGAGTGCGTTCGTGTGTGCGTTCGTGTGTGCGTTCGTGAGTGCGTTCGTGAGTGCGTTCGTGTGTGCGTTCGTGTGTGCGTTCGTGAGTGCGTTCGTGTGTGCGTTCGTGAGTGCGTTCGTGTGTGCGTTCGTGAGTGCGTTCGTGAGTGCGTTTGTGAGTGCGTCCGTGAGTGCGTTCGTGTGTGCGTTCGTGAGTGCGTTCGTGATTGCGTTCGTGTGTGCGTTCGTGAGTGCGTTCGTGTGTGCGTTCGTGTGTGCGTTCGTGAGTGCGTTCGTGAGTGCGTTCGTGTGTGCGTTCGTGTGTGCGTTCGTGAGTGCGTTTGTGTGTGCGTTCGTGAGTGCGTTCGTGTGTGCGTTCGTGAGTGCGTTCGTGTGTGCGTTCGTGTGTGCGTTCGTGTGTGCGTCCGTGAGTGCGTTCGTGTGTGCGTTCGTGAGTGCGTTCGTGAGTGCGTTCGTGAGTGCGTTCGTGAGTGCGTTCGTGAGTGCGTTCGTGTGTGCGTTCGTGAGTGCGTTCGTGAGTGCGTCTGTGAGTGCGTTCGTGTGTGCGTTCGTGAGGGCGTTCGTGTGTGCGTTCGTGTGTGCGTTCGTGTGTGCGTTCGTGAGTGCGTTCGTGAGTGCGTTCGTGAGTGCGTTCGTGTGTGCGTTCGTGAGTGCGTTCGTGAGTGCGTTCGTGAGTGCGTTCGTGAGTGCGTTCGTGTGTGCGGTCGTGAGTGCGTTCGTGAGTGCGTTCGTGTGTGCGTCCGTGAGTGCGTTCGTGAGTGCGTTCGTGAGTGCGTTCGTGAGTGCGTTCGTGAGTGCGTTCGTGTGTGCGTTCGTGTGTGCGTTCGTGAGAGCGTTCGTGAGTGCGTTCGTGAGTGCGTTCGTGTGTGCGTTCGTGTGTGCGTTCGTGAGTGCGTTCGTGTGTGCGTTCGTGAGTGCGTTCGTGAGTGCGTTCGTGTGTGCGTTCGTGAGTGCGTGCGTGAGTGCGTTCGTGTGTGCGTTCGTGAGTGCGTTCGTGTGTGCGTTCGTGAGTGCGTTCGTGAGTGCGTTCGTGTGTGCGGTCGTGAGTGCGTTCGTGAGTGCGTTCGTGTGTGCGTCCGTGAGTGCGTTCGTGAGTGCGTTCGTGAGTGCGTTCGTGAGTGCGTTCGTGAGTGCGTTCGTGTGTGCGTTCGTGTGTGCGTTCGTGAGAGCGTTCGTGAGTGCGTTCGTGAGTGCGTTCGTGTGTGCGTTCGTGTGTGCGTTCGTGAGTGCGTTCGTGTGTGCGTTCGTGAGTGCGTTCGTGAGTGCGTTCGTGTGTGCGTTCGTGAGTGCGTGCGTGAGTGCGTTCGTGTGTGCGTTCGTGAGTGCGTTCGTGTGTGCGTTCGTGAGTGCGTTCGTGAGTGCGTTCGTGTGTGCGTTCGTGAGTGCGTTCGTGTGTGCGTTCGTGTGTGCGTTCGTGAGTGCGTTCGTGAGTGCGTTCGTGTGTGCGTTCGTGAGTGCGTTCGTGTGTGCGTGCGTCACCATCCCGGAGGGGGGCGGCTGCGGTCACCCAGAGCAAGCCCGTAGTCGCAACGTGTAGCGACGCAACGCCCCGATTCATCAACACGAAGGAGGCAACGCGGCGACAATACGCTGCTCCGCTTGCTGCTCCTGGCTCGGCCACCTGGTGCTTGACCACGTGAATGTGAACTTGCTTAGTTGTCGTCTCTGGGTCTACATCATCAGCCGGCCGGACAGCAACGAGAAGAAGAAGATTCTCGATTGGAGGACGCAGAGGCAGTGGTGGGGTGAGGTGGGAGGGCAGTGGCTTGGAGTAAGGGGGGGTTGGAGTGGGTGGGGGGGGCTGCTTCTGAAAATTCAAGCTTTTTAAATAGGGCCCTACATTAATTACAAACAATATATAGTGTATATTTTGAATCGATACATCTTATCGGGGGGGTAGGTCAGGGGCCTAGCAGTTTATTCGACGGTGCAAGTTTCTCAAATCGCCTTTCTCGGTCCAGCCGGCGGTGTAAATGGGTTCACCGCGGCGGTCGGTCGGTCGATCCGTGATCGGCAGGTCGCGTGCGGCGGTGGGTAAGGTGCGGGCGGTCTCCCACGACTTCCGAGGCGTTTTGTCCGGCGTGGGAGAGTCGCCCCCAACGTACCGTCGAGGAAAGGCTTCTCTCGAGCTCCCCCGTACCGCACGGCGGTACGTTGTTGTTTTGGTAACGGAAGTCGCTCGCTCCGTTTGCAGGGCGCTGCACATGGTGGACACCCTGCTGCAGAAGATCGACTTCCCCAGCTCCACCATCTCGCTCCCGACGAAGAACCTGTTGCTCTTCGTGTCCAAGATGAACGAGAGCGACAGCTCGAAGCCGCAGGAGTTCAAGGTGAGCCGTCGCTTCACACCGAGAGCCAAAGGTCATACCAAGAGCCAAAGGTCAGGCAAGATAAAAATAAAACTATCTTTTTTTTACCAGCTAAGGCCCACTGAGCTACATAGCTCTTTTATCAGATGCGACCTGGCCACAAATGATAGCTGACAGAAGTGGCTTATCACGTGGATATTTATAGCAGCCAAATATTCTATATAACATCTCGCCACCGTGACGCCCATGATGATGGCAGTGACGATGGTGACAATGATGATGGCGGTGACGATGGTGACAATGATGATGGCGGTGACGGTGATGGTTGTCCCCTGGTGCAGGATGGGGAGACATCGGTGTCGCTGCCGGCCTCCCTGCTGGACTCGCTCGACCCGGCTCAGAAGGCGATGGCGACGCGGGCCCAGTTCACCATCTACAACAACACCAAGCTCTTCCCGCAGGCTAATGCAAGCGGCGCTCCCACACGCAGCGCACCCTCACTCCAGCAGCGCATAGAGAATGACTGCTGCTTAGGCATGCAACGAGGCATGGTTATTGTGATGATGACGGCAGTGGTGCTGTTGATAAAGACGGTGATGATGGTGCTGACGGTGGCAGCGGCAGTGGCTGATGATGACGGTGGCGACAGCGGTGATGACGACAGTGGAGATCACGATGATGACGATGACAGCAGTGATGACGACGACGTTCGATGTTGCATTGTATCCGCACAGCTGTCGAGCTACGTGGTGGCGGCGAGCGTGGGAAAACTGGCGAACATCACAAACCTCAAGGACCCGGTCAACATCACCCTGTGGCACACCAACCAAAGCGCCCTGGATCCCGTGGAGGGGATGATAAAGGTGGGTCCTCTTCCTAAACCTCTAACCTCCCATGGTCTCTGTGGCAACGACGGGGGTCCGAACGAACCCCCTGCAAGTGCATGGCCGGACGCAGGGAAGTTTCAGTCTCTGCGAGGGCAGCATAAGAGAAGAAGCGAGCTCCTCGGCTTTCTGGATTTGTTGGTGCAGTGGATTGTGTATGTGTGTGCAAGGACTCCACTACTTACGGACATTCGACTTATGAACTTTCAGAGATACGAACAAACCTGGTCCGTATGTCCAGTTGCCTGTTCGGACTGAGCGTCAAAAGTTCAACTGCCGCGAAATAGATGGCGGTGGTGGCATCTGCAGAACGTGAAGAACCAGTGGCATCTACATCTACAGGAGATGATACAACTTCTTGGTTCTTTCGGTAAAGTCACGTAGTAGGGAAGTAATAAAATAATAAAAATAAAACATAAAAAAACAATTCTCACGACGTTTCGGCCACAACGCAAGCAGCCGTCCTCAGAGTCTTATCGACAGACATGTTCTTCACCTGAGGACGGCTGCTTGCGTTGTGGCCGAAACGTCGTGAGAGTTATTTTATTATGTTTTATTTTTATTATTTTATTTCTTCCCTTCTACGTGACTTTACCGAAAGAACCAAGAAGATGAATCCCTGCAGTCACGAAAGCTTTAAATAGAGATGATACAACTTTTAAAGCCATTCCCCGAGTTTAGTGTACACGCCGTACAGCGTGTTTGGAATTGACAGCAGTTAAGTTGGACTTACGAACAAATCGACTGACGCACAGACTAAACAGCCCCTAAGAAATGAAGTTCTCAATCGAGATTGTTGAAAAGTAAAGTTCCACGGGGCACGGTTTGGTTCACCTCGAGAGCTGTGCCGCGACTCTCCACCAGGGGGACCGAGGCAGCTCCGAGTGACCAGTCGAGGCTCGGGTGCCCATCCCGCCTCCAAGTGGCGGGGCTGAGTCTCTACCAGAGGACAATCACTGTTGACTTGCTCCAAAACGGGTCCATGGTTTAGTAGTAGGCTTTTGCGACCAATATCATCCATAATAAAGTGGGGGGGTGGGGGGAGTTTGGATTACATTGCGTAAATATAAATGCTGTCACGTAAACAAAACGTGACAATTAGTTAGTACCTTCACACCTCTTTTTCTTGGTTCTTTCGGTAAAGTCACGTAGAATGGAAATAAAAAAATTAAAAAAATAATTATAAATTAATTATTTTATTTGATTATGCTTTACATAATAAAATAATTATTTTATTTTTATTATTTTATTATTTCCATTCTACGTGACTTTACCGAAAGAACCAAGAAGATGAATCCCTGCAGTCACGAAAGCTTTAAATCGAAATTTAACCTTCATACCTGTCCACCCCATCCGGTTTACCCCGTATTTTTGTACAGGGAAATTGAGTGTTCAGGTCCGTACAGCCGTTTAAATACGGGTAAAATAAAGTGTGTCCATTTGTTTGTCTTTCTCCCTTGACGATGGGACTTTGTAGGATGAACGTTGAGATTTGTAGGGCACGGGGTGACCAATAAGGTCTGAATTGGTCTGTAATAAGGTAGGGCACTGATCCGGGATTGACAGGTATGGTACTTCAGCACACCGGTGTGTTGGAGAGTAAACCCACAATGTTTACAATTCGAGTAGCGTGACGTTTTGCCGATGATTACACAGTAGTAATTTTCTTATCGGCCGTGGAGAGATGATGGACTGAATGATATCCCAACCTGGAACTTGAATACTTCAAAACCAGGTTGGGACACCACTGGTGCATGTTGGGTAGCCACTGGTCCATGTTGGGAAACCACTGGTCCATGTTGGGAAACCACTGGTCTATGATGGGACACCACTGGTCCATGTTGGGACACCACTGGTCCATGTTGGGAAACCACTGGTCCATGATGGGACACCATTGGTCTGTGTTGTACAGGGAGTTGGAGGTGGGGGGGGAATACCCCCCTTCCCCCAGCACCCCCACCTCACCCTCTACCGTCCTCACCCACGTGCACCCCTCACTTTAGTGACCCCCCCCCCCCGTGGTGTTGCCGTGACCAGCGTTGCTCTGTTGCGATTCACCCCCTCTGTGTTGTGTTGCAGAACGTCAAGTGCGTGTACTGGGACTTCGTCAAGAAAGGTGAATATGGCTTACGTGACACTCCTTTTTCTCTCTCTTGCTTGCAAGAGTTTGTTGCGAAGTCCGAATTCTCCCTGCTCCTGGCTCCAACGTGAATCCGGTATTCGCCTGGGGAGACGATGTCCATGACGCCTTTGTGGCGTTCGCCTTTCCGGCGTTCGTTCGTTCTGCGGCCTAGCCGCCAGTGGCGACGCAAGGCCCTGAAGGTGTAGGCCAATCGCTTTCGAAGACATATGCAAAGATCTGTGAAAGGAGAGCTTTATAGCTCATCGGATTCCTGCAGTATAAATCAATCTTCTGATTATTACCAAAGCACGTTTGTTTGCATGTCTTTCCAAAAACATGATGCGTGGCTAACGCAGACTTGATGATGCCTTGCGCTAGGTGTCTTTTTGGTGTTCGAACACGTTTAATATATATATGTGTATGTGTGTTCTCATTGCAACAAAACGCGAGCCCGGTACTTCACGCCGAAGGACATCAGTGAAGGGGGTACAGCGGATTTAAGGGATGCAGGGAACGGCGTTCGAACATCTTAACACCTCCTGTTTTATTGCCGGAAAAAAGAGTCAAGCCCATTGTTTTTTTTCATCAACTCGACATGCCACTTGAATGCCCTGTGGTGTTGCCCCTGGCCAGACTGGAACAGCAATGGGTGCATCGCCGTGCCCAGCGGCTCCGACCACAACGTGACTCTGTGCCAGTGCAACCACCTGACGCACTTCGCTCTGCTGCTGGTGAGGCTGGCGTGCGCGGACAGCCTCGTTACCGTGGCTGCAGCGGTCGTGTGGTGATGACCACGGTGACCGTGACCACAGCAACTGTGACCACGACAACCGTGACCACGACGACGACAACGACCGTTGCCATAAGGACCGTGGTGGGCGATGACGACGACCATGACGACGATGACCGTGATGATGACGAGCGTTACCGCGGCGATGACGACCGCGACAATGACGACCGTGACCATGACAACGGTAATCACAACGATGACGACGACGATGATGATGACGACGATGACGACGACGATGATGATGAATGATTTACCACTGCGCAGGATCTCTCTTCGGTGGCGGTGCTGCTGCCCACCTCTCCCACGTGGGTTTTTTTCCCCCAATTGTTTCTGCGTGTTGTTCGGCACGATGTCCGACGTTCCGTGGGTACTCCCACCTCTTCCGGCGTGAAAGAGGCGGGCCGAAGCATCGTCTCGAGAGGGTGTCCTAGAGCTCGCTGTCGTAGAGGCCCTTCTGCCAAAAGCGGCGTTATTATTATAAATTTTCACTGAATTTCGTTTGGATTTTATCGAAAAAGAGCTTCATAACTCAATGGGCTTTACTGGAGAAATAAACTTCTGATTCTGATTCAGATTTTTTTTTTTGCATAGTGCTTTGAAGTATGAAGGAAGCTTCAGAATAAAAAAAATTGTTCCACTAATACACTGTCAACTCAAAACGCATCTCCTTCTGATGCTACGGATGCTTGTCGTTGTAACCCGCTGACCCGCCACCAATTGTACATCTGTGAAAAACGAGCACCACCACTTACACCGGATTCCTCCGGCGGCCCAAATAAAGATTCTGATTCCGCTTGTCGTGTGCGTCGCCGCGTCGTCTTGTTTCTTTCTGCCCGACCAGGATTTCTCTCCGGGCCCAAAATACTCGGAAGCGATCGAGAAGTCCCTCAGCTTCATTACCTACATCGGCTCCGGCCTCTCAACCATCTTCCTCGGCATCACACTCGTCACCTACATCACCTTCGAGTGAGTCCCCATCCATCCACCCCCCCCCGCGCCCAGCCGAGTGTTCATATAAGCAGGGCAAATCGAGTCATCCGTTATTTTTCGATTTAAAGCTTTCGTGACTGCAGGGATTCATCTTGTTGGTTCTTTCGGTAAAGTCATGTAGAAGGGAAATAATAAAATAATTAAAATAAAAATAATAATATTCTCACGACGTTTCGGCCACAACGCAAGCAGCCGTCCTCAGGTGAAGAACAGGGCTGTCGGAAAGACAGACGCTGTGGAAAGACAGACAGGGCTGTCGGAAAGACAGACGCTGTGGAAAGACAGACCTGTTTTTCACCTGAGGATGGCTGCTTGCGTTGTGGCCGAAACGTCGTGAGAAATATTTTATTATGTTTTATTTTTATTATTTTATTATTTCCCTTCTACGTGACTTTACCGAAAGAACCAAGAAGATCATCCGTTATTGTTGTTATTGTTATTATTGTAGTCCTAGTCTGCCTCTGGCCAAAGGCAACCCATAGAATGTTCGTCTCTGGTGCAGGCCACTCAGTCCCAAGGATAATACATAAATTTTTTTCACCTCGTGTTTGTTGCCGATGTTTTACCACAAGCAGCATGTGTGGTTAACTCAGACTTGTCACCGTGAGATCGGTGTTTATTTGGTGTACTATTGCCCGAAAGGGTAAGCCTATTCTTTGTTTCATCACCGCTAATAATTATTATAGCAGCACTCACGGATGGCTCTGAGAGAGGCGCGGAGTGAACACAACGTGGCTGCGGCCGTGACCACCGCGATGTCGATCTGCGGAACCACCCTCCCTTGCAGGAAAATCCGCACGGATCACCCGTCCAAGATCCTGATGAACCTGTGCGCAGCGCTGCTGCTGCTGAACCTGCTGTTCATGCTGGACGCGTGGATCGCGTGGTTCAACATCGAAGGCCTGTGCGTCGCCACCGGCGCCCTGCTGCACTACTCGCTGCTCGCATCCTTCACCTGGATGGGCCTCGAGGCCGTTCACCTCTACCTGGCCGTCGTCAAGGTCTTCAACACCTACGTGCGCAACTACATCCTCAAGTTCTGCATCGTCGGATGGGGTGAGTTGGCTGCGGTGATGGGGTGAGTGGTGGTGGGGTGGGGTGAGTGGTGGTGGGGTGAGTGGTGGTGGGGTGGGGTGGGGTGAGTGGTGGTGGGGTGGGGTGAGTGTTGGTGGGATGGGGTGAGTGGTGGTGGGGTGGGGTGAGTGGTGGTGAGATGGGGTGAGTGGTGGTGGGGTGGGGTGAGTGTTGGTGGGGTGGGGTGAGTGGTGGTGGGGTGGGGTGAGTGGTGGTGGGGTGGGGTGAGTGGTGGTGGGGTGGGGTGAGTGTTGGTGGGATGGGGTGAGTGGTGGTGGGGTGGGGTGAGTGGTGGTGGGGTGGGGTGAGTGTTGGTGGGATGGGGTGAGTGGTGGTGAGATGGGGTGAGTGGTGGTGGGGTGGGGTGAGTGGTGGTGGGGTGGGGTGAGTGGTGGTGGGGTGGGGTGAGTGGTGGTGGGGTGGGGTGAGTGGTGGTGGGGTGGGGTGAGTAGTGGTGGGATGGGGTGAGTGGTGGTGGGGTGGGGTGAGTGGTGGTGGGGTGGGGTGAGTGGTGGTGGGGTGGGGTGAGTGGTGGTGGGGTGGGGTGAGTGGTGGTGGGGTGGGGTGAGTGGTGGTGGGGTGGGGTGAGTGGTGGTGGGGTGGGGTGAGTGGTGGTGGGGTGGGGTGAGTGGTGGTGGGGTGGGGTGAGTAGTGGTGGGATGGGGTGAGTGGTGGTGGGATGGGGTGAGTTGGCCGCGGTGATGGGGTGAGTGGTGGTGGGGTGGGGTGAGTGGTGGTGGGGTGGGGTGAGTGGTGGTGGGGTGGGGTGAGTGGTGGTGGGGTGGGGTGAGTGGTGGTGGGGTGGGGTGAGTGGTGGTGGGGTGGGGTGAGTGTTGGTGGGATGGGGTGAGTGGTGGTGGGATGGGGTGAGTGTTGGTGGGATGGGGTGAGTGGTGGTGGGGTGGGGTGAGTGGTGGTGGGGTGGGGTGAGTGTTGGTGGGATGGGGTGAGTGGTGGTGGGGTGGGGTGAGTGGTGGTGGGGTGGGGTGAGTGTTGGTGGGATGGGGTGAGTGGTGGTGGGGTGGGGTGAGTGGTGGTGGGGTGGGGTGAGTGGTGGTGGGGTGGGGTGAGTGGTGGAGGGATGGGGTGAGTGGTGGTGGGGTGGGGTGAGTGGCAGCGGAATGGGGAAAGTGTCTGTGGGTGTCTCTCTATGTCTGTCTTTTTAGGTGTCTCTGTGTGTGTGTCTCTGTCTATGTGTCTCTGTGTGTTTCTGGGGAGTGGTAGTGTCGTCGTTAGTAATTTGTGCCACGAAACCGGCGACCCGAGTTCAATTCCCGCTCACGGCCAATACCAGCGATGAATATTTGAACCGCTCCTGGGCCTCCCCGAGGTCGATTCAACCTCAAATGAGTACCTGGTGCGATGTGTAAACATTCACCACTGGGGAGACAAAGGCGGCCCAGCGTGGTGTTGGCCACCCACCCCCTCCTGTGCTTTGCTGGCCTTCATAGGCGCTCGCTCACAGCACTTGCCCCTACAGTCTGTTACAGGCTATACGGGGGATCATTGTCTTTTTTGTGTCCCCGTGTGTTTGCGTCTTCTCCTTGCAGGCGTCCCGGCCGTTGTCGTTGCGATTCTGCTGGCTATACAACAAGATGTTTACGGGAAAGGACAAACCAATTCCACGAACTATCGAGAGAGAGACGACTTGTAAGTGCCCGGAGAACCCGGAATCACAGGCACCAGTAGCTACACTGCACGTGACCTGTGATGCAGGTGTGCTGCTGGCTGTGCCTCACGTGACCTGTGATGCAAGTGTGCTGCTAGCTGTGCCGCATTATAACCTGACCCTGGTCTCCCGTCGCATCCCCCCCCCTACCCCCCGCAGCTGCTGGATCCGGCTGGACGTGGTGTTCTACGTGGCGGTGGCCGGCTACTTCTGCCTCGTCTTCTGCCTCAACTTGAGCATGTTCGTAGTGGTGCTGCGCCAGATCTGCCAGCAGAAGCGCAAGCACGGCAAGGAGAAGCACTCGAGCGTGGCGCGCGAGCTTCGCGGCAGCGTGAGCCTCACCTTCCTGCTCGGCATCACCTGGGCCTTCGCCTTCCTCGGCTTCGGCCCCCAGAAGCTCGCCTTCATCTACCTCTTCATCATCTTCAACACGCTGCAAGGTCGGTCGGGGTTTGCGGGCGGCGGTGGAGCGAGCGTGTGTGTGTGCTTGGGGAGTGGTGGTGTAGCGGGTAGCGCGCTGCACTACGAACCCCGGCGACCCGAGTTCGATTCCAGTTCATGGCCGTCACCGGTGATGATTATCTGAACCGGTCCTGGCAGGGAGTGGGGAGTGAGCGGGGAGCGATCGAGGAGCGGAGATCGAGCGGGGAGTGTGGAGTGAGCGGGGAGCGAGCGGGGAGAGTGTGGAGAGTGTGGAGTGAGCGGGGAGCGAGCGGGGAGTGAGCGGGGAGTGTGGAGTGAGTGGGGAGTGAGCGGGGAGCGAGCGGGGAGTGAGTGGAGAGTGTGGAGTGAGCGGGGAGCGAGCGGGGAGTGAGTGGAGAGTGTGGAGTGAGTGGGGAGTGAGCGGGGAGCGAGCAGGGAGTGAGTGTAGAGTGTGGAGTGAGCGGGGAGCGAGCGGGGAGTGAGTGGAGAGTGTGGAGTGAGCGGGGAGCGAGCGGGGAGAGTGTGGAGAGTGTAGAGTGAGCGGGGAGCGAGCGGGGAGTGAGCGGGGAGTGTGGAGTGAGTGGAGAGTGTGGAGTGAGGGGGGAGCGATCGAGGAGCGGGGAACGAGCGGAGAGCGAGCGGAGAGTGTGGAGTGAGCGGGGAGCGAGCAGGGAGCGAGTGGGGAGTGAGTGGAGAGTGTGGAGTGAGTGGAGAGTGTGGAGTGAGGGGGGAGCGATCGAGGAGCGGGGAACGAGCGGAGAGCGAGCGGAGAGTGTGGAGTGAGCGGGGAGTGAGCAGGGAGAGTGTGGAGTGAGTGGAGAGTGTGGAGTGAGCGGGGAGTGAACAGGGAGTGAGTGGAGAGTGTGGAGTGAGCGGGGAGTGAGCGGGGAGTGAGTGGAGAGTGAGGAGTGAGCGGGGAGCAAATGAGGAGTGGGAAGCGAGCGAGGAGCGAGCACCCGAATGGCGCCGTTGACGTTCCGTGCCTCTTTGGTTTTGTGCCCCCCCCCCCACCCCACCCCGCCAGGGTTCATGATCTTCATCTTCCACTGCGCGCTCCGGGAGAACGTTCGCTACCAGTGGAAGAAGTTCTTCTGCTGCGGGAAATACTGTAAGTGCGCGCGCCCTGCGCGTCCCACGCCAAGCCACGGCGGCGAGATGTTAACTCCCTCGCCGGGTATGCAGGAGGTCGTGGGTTCGATCCCGGCACTGACGCCTGCTGTAAATATTGAAGTTGCGTGTTCTTCCTGGGGCAGCGTGGGTTTTTTCTCCGGGTCCTCCGGTATTTGTCTTTTGTCAACGTGACACTTTTTTACTGATTGGCCCGTGTCGGGTGGTGGAGGGTTACGACACATTTATAAATAACGCGATCTAAACCCAAAAACGTTGATTATGAATAATATTGGTCGCGAAAGCCTGCCACGTGTTAAACAGGTGCTCCCTTCCCCTTTGCGCCGAGGCACGCCGCAAGCTTTGGCGTTGCTCCCTTGGAGGCATCCGCTGCTGCCACCAGCACGGCCCCCGCGCTCGTTGAGAGATTAATCAGCGCGTGTGAGTAACTGCCACGTTGGGGGAGCGGTGCTTTTGGAGCATCGGCTTGAGGCAATTTGCCCTTTGGCACACACTGTGGTTCGCAACACGAGAGATGAGATGCATTATGCATGTATGGCCAACTTGTTCTTCCGCACCGTGCTTATCCAACCGCGCTAATCGGAGGTGCGGGGGAAGGACAATAAACTTAACACGAATAGCACTTCTAAAGAAATTACTTTCCAATTTAAATTTTGTAAATCATTGCTCTGGTGGCTTCCTATTATCGGAAGGAAGAGCGTTCCAGACGGCCGCAGAAGCGCATCTTGAAAGCGTGCGATGCAGTGACCGTCTTTTTTCGACGGTTAGCTAAAAGCCGCTGCTGCTGCCGCTGCCAGGCTGACCGGAGTTTTCGTGATGACGGTTTACGAAACGGTTTTAATCAGAAACCGAGGCTTTCAGATAAAGTTTACGCGATTCTTTTTTGCCCCCCCCCCCACCCAACACTCCTCCATCCCCCCCACCCCTCCCTCCGTCCGTCCGTCTGCTCAGCTGATGGAAAAATGAGGTACACCTCGGGGAACAGGTCAACACTGCTGCTGACGCGAAAGCAGAAACAGCGGCTGTCGCACTGCAGCGGCACGTCTCATTCCACCGAGCAGACCGACGTCACGAGCCTCAACAACTCGGTCAAGCCAATAGGTGGGTGTGGTGCAAGGCGTCCGTGTTGCGAGGGTCGTCGGTACAGAGCCCTGGCAGGGCCACGGGACGGTAGTCAAGGGCAGAGGCTTAGCCCTTTCCCGTGCTGATGATGTACGCCGTCGGAAGTAAATAAAATGAAACAGCTTCATGGGTACCGAGGCTCCCGCAAGGCCATGCAGGAGGGAGGGCGTGTGTGGCACAGTTTGGCGCCAGCTATCGTAGAGTGCGGTTGTGTCGTTACAGTTCTCTGCGGTGAGTGCAAGGTCTTTCAAAAGAAGGCGAAAAATCCGAGAGAGATTTGACATGCTACATAAAAAACTAAAACTAGTATCTGGTGCTAAAGATGAATTACCGAAGCTATCAACAGAAGGTGTCCCGAATTAATTGCTGCTTTGGCAAATGCTATGTTGGTCAGATGGGATGAATGATCAGTAATAACACCAAAGAAATATTAAATAATCCCAACGCACAACTGTGAGCCGTGGCAGAATACGCGTGCCAACAAGGACACTCAATTGATTTTAGTAATGTTGAGATTTTGTGTAAAACCAGTTAAGACTAGCCAAGATTAATTAGAGAATATATTGAAATTGAGAGAAACAAAAATAACTGTAACCATTCAGATAGCTACAGGCGAAATGCTGCTTGGAAGCCGATAATCAAGTAATACACTTTCGATTTAAAGCTTTCGTGACTGCAGGGATTCATATTCTTGTTTTTTTCGGTAAAGTCACGTAGAAGGGAAATAATAAAATAATAAAAATAAAACATAATAAAATTATTCTCACGACGTTTCGGCCACAACGAGGACGGCTTGCTTGCGTTGTGACCAAAACGTCGTCAGAATTTTTATAAAGTTTTATTTTTATTATTTTATTATTTCCCTTCTACGTGACTTTACCAAAAGAACCAAGAATAAGCAACACACCGCTCAATGGCATACCTAGGCAGGTCACCATACGTCGAGTAAATGTGACTTAATATCTATATGGCTGCTGCCATCCGTGGTAGTCGGAGATGTGGAAGGTGGATGACTAACTAACTAACAAAAAGACAGAAGTCCATTGTATACTCTTTGGTTCTTTCGGTAAAGTCACGTAGGTAGAAAAATAAAAGAAATTACGACGTTTCGACCGCAGTTCTACCGCTGGATTTTATTTTTTTTCCGCCTGATGACGGAAGCTTGCGTTGCGATCGAAACGTCGTGATTTATTTTATTGTTTCTACCCACGTGACTTTACCGAAAGAACCCAAGAGCATGGATTCCTGCAGTCACGAAAGCTTCAAATCAAGATTCCATTGCATGTCGAGTAACTGTGAGCAGCCGATAATATGCGCTGCTTATTCTGTGCACACTCTTAGATTAACCGTAACTTCATGTGTACATAGCTGCTGTGGAGGTGTGTAACAAACTAACTCGTAACAAACGAGCATACCACTGCATGCTGATTAACTGTGAGCAGCCAAGATCAGGCACTGCATATTCTATGCATACTCTTAGATGAACAAAATGTACATACATAATGTGCATGCATTATGTACAATGTGCATACATTATGCATGTTGATTAACTGTGAGTAGCCAAACCAGTAATATGTAGGGCATATTCTCCCATTAACGTCTTGCATTGTAATTTATATGACAACATCAACCCCCCTCTGCACCTCATAGGCCCACAGCGATAACATCGCCTTTAACCCATCTATTTAAGACCAAAACACAGGAGGAATTCTCCACAATTCTGGTTATCGCCTGAGGAAGCTGGTTATAATCGCCGGCGAAACGTCGTACTCGCATTGGAAATGTTGTGGACTTACTCTCCAACACACCGGTTAGTGCTGAATTAGTAACTAATTGCCGCGTTTTGTTTACGTGACAAACCTTACCAATTGGCTGTGTCAGGTGGTGGTGGGTTTAACAACACATTTAGATTTACGTGATCCAGCCCAAAACAACCTTTGTTTTGGATAACTTCCGATCAGATCGCAGGCGTAGGTCACGTGACGAGCCGAGGTTTGCACACTCCATAGACCAAACGGCGGTCGTCCAACAGCCTTCTATATTGGTTGGGCTGCTTCGCATCGGTCAGGCAAAAAAACTCCCATCGCCCTCCGCCGACACCGTACTGAGTTGTCGTGCCTGATCACGGTGTACGTGCTGCCAGTGATGAGCGCTCACAGTCATTTACCTTCAGTCTCCCCCACCCCCCCCCCCCCCCGTGCAACATAAAGGCAGTGGGGGGCTGTGAGGATCAGAGAAGGCCGTGAGTCCTGATGGCACCGAGGGCTCCAAATCACAGCAGAACCGGCAGTGGCTGAAACCCATTTGCTCAATAAAATTTGACTCCCGGGTGCAGGAATCGTAAAAAAACACGGCCCCGACAGAACCGGCGCATTTACCCCCGCGTGCGGTACCCTCTGATGGCGAATTGTGAAATGATGAGGCCGCGAAATGCAATCCTTTCCAGCCTGCTGTCACAGTCTCGCTGGAAGAGTGGATGCATTTCCCTTATCGCCTTCCTCCTGCAGAACCCTGTACGTTTTTGGGTCATTGTGTTTCTAGTCTTGCTGTCCTGTAGCGGGAAGGCGAGAGGCGCCGCCGAAGGGTTAACAGGCCCATCGATAGCACATGAACGCCACGAGATGGCCACGTTTTAAGTTTCAAGTTCAGTCACTTTAACCACGGGAGAGAACTGGAGAGGCGCATATCGTCTCATCCGCGCGAGCGATCAACGACAACAAAGACGTTTTGACTCGACGGAGCGTTTGACCTTTGACCCTTCGGGTCGCCGTGGTGGGGGGGATCGAACTCGGGGTTTTTGCCGGCTTCGCGGTGCAGCGTGGTCACCACCGCGTCGCCACTTGGGGACATGGACAACAACGACGTGAAGACACCACGGGACGTGCGGACAAAATTGTTTAAGTGGCAAACCTTACCAATTTCGCGGTGGGATCGCGTGGCCTCAAAACATTGGGTCCTCCAACCCCAAGAGGGCGTCCAGCGCTGTCTCTTTGGCCGGCTGTGATGCTGCGGGTGTGCGATGCAACGGGGCGGAGTGGGATCAACTTTGCCCAGCTCTCATGCCGGAGGTGTTGAATGCAACGGGGCAGAGTGGGATCAACTTTGCTCAGATTTGATGCTGCAGGTGTTTAATGGAATGGTGCGGAGTGGGATCAACTTTGCTCAGATTTGATGCAGGAGGCATTGAATGCAACAGAGCAGAGTGGGATCAACTTTTGTCCAGATTTGATGCTGCGGGTGTGCGATGCAATGGGGCAGAGTGGGATCAACGTTGCCCCACTGTGATGCTACAGGCGCCGTGGTGGGATGCGCGATTGGATATTTATTCAGACGTCCCTGTTCACCAGCGAAATTGGCTTTGGCTATGCTCGACACGAAGAGACGGAGTTTTTTGTATTTCAATATCAAAGGTCAAATTAAACTCTCTTGCCATGACGCTAGATTGACGACGCGTGACAAGGCATTTTCATTTTAAAATTCCATTTTCGAACATGATTATGAACAACGGAAGGTGAAAGTGAGAAAATGTAATAGTATTCGGTGGCGTGGCGGTGACGCACGCGTCGTGGCTCGTTGCAGATGTTCGTGGTTCGGACCTCGCGGCCGCCCTGGATAATGCTGTGGGCGCATTAACCATACATGGGCACCGTCTGCAGACTATATATGTGAATCGTAACACCTTCGCGGTAGACTTGCGCGATGAGAATTTCGTGAACATGAATTGATTTGATTCGTGTTTTATTCTTTCCCTTCCAGGCGAAAGCCCGCGCTGATGCAATTTCCGTCGACTCTACAAGGACCAGATTATTCCACAAACAGCAGCCCCCTACGAAGGATCGCCACAACGTGAGGGACGAACTCGGGATCACCGCCGATCCACATCCACCGCCGATCCACATCCACCGCCGATCCACATCCACCGCCACCTCCAGCACCAGCGATTTCGTTCGGCACATCCAGGAACGAGCCGCTTCTCGTCGGTCGGAGGCGCTTAGACTTCCGGTCGCCACGGTGACGGCCGCGCAACTTTCTCACACGGTCCTCGTCACTTCGCGAGGAGCGGCGAAGGACTCTCGCCTCCCCCCCCCCCCCCTCCTCTCTGGCTGTGCTTGTTACAAATATATGTAAATATTCGCGAGCGAGCTAGCGTAGTGTAACGGGGGTGGACGCCTCGCTCGGTGAAGCACCGCGCCCGCGATTGCCGAGGTCATGAGTTCAACTCCTGGCAAGAGTTAATTGAGCCTCGTCATCATCATCATCATCACTGTCATCGTCATCACTGTCATCATCGTCGTCATCATCATTGTCATCATCGTCGTCATCATCATTGTCATCATCGTCATCATTATCACTTTCACCATTGCCGTCATCATCATCACTGTCATAATCGTCGTCATCACTGTCATCATCGTCGTCATCGTCATCACTTTCATCATTGCCGTCATCATCATCACTGTCATAATCGTCGCCATCATCATCACTTTCATCATCGTCGTCATCATCATCACTGTCATGATCATCACTTTCATCATCGTCGTCATCATCATCACTGTCATCATCGTCGTCATCATCATCACTGTCATCGTCATCACTTTCATCGTCATCATCATCATCACTGTCATCATCGTCGTCATCATCATCACTGTCATCGTCATCACTTTCATCGTCGTCATCATCATCACTTTCATCATCGTCGTCATCATCATCACTGTCATCATCGTCGTCATCATCATCACTGTCATCGTCATCACTTTCATCGTCGTCATCATCATCACTGTCATCATCGTCGTCATCATCATCACTGTCATCGTCATCACTTTCATCGTCGTCATCATCATCACTGTCATCATCGTCGTCATCATCATCACTTTCATCATCGTCGTCATCATCATCACTGTCATCATCGTCGTCATCATCATCACTGTCATCGTCATCACTTTCATCGTCGTCATCATCATCACTGTCATCATCGTCGTCATCATCATCACTGTCATCGTCATCACTTTCATCGTCGTCATCATCATCACTGTCATCATCGTCGTCATCATCATCACTGTCATCATCGTCGTCATCATCATCACTGTCATCATCGTTGTCATCATCATCACTGTCATCATCGTCGTCATCATCGTCATGGTGTGATAGTCATCATCATCATCATCATTCTAACAGGGTCGGTAAAATGAGTTTCAATTGATGAAGTTTCGCCATTTGGTGGGAAGTAAACAATCGTCCAGTACTCCGATATTTTTTTTATTAAAATCTGGTCCCGCCCATAGGCATATGGAGTTTCTAGCAACGCCTTCAATGACTGACGATGGCTCGAAACGAGAACTGCCCAGCGATGATAATTGGAGAGTGATAATTGCTCAGAGTCTGTGCCTATCGTAATGATGGTTGCCGCCAATTGGTTTCAATTTAGGGACATTCCGCTGAAGCGGGACTCATCGGCGCAAATTGAAAACAGATGGCAGAGTCGTTAGCGGCAGAAACGCTGCACCACCACCACCACTTGGGACGCGCTGCTAAAATCTTCCTCCCAGATTGCGTGGAAATTCAGCAAACGTTAGCACAATGCCAGCCAGAGTAGGGAGATGAGAATTTGTTTATTGTACCACCCCAACCCCCCGCCCCCCCCCCCCCCGTTAAAGCGCTTTTAACTTAAATGCAAGGTCAGTTATTTTGTGTTGTTGCCTAACCTCCCAAACAGTGGTGGTGTAATCTTGATTTGAAGTGGTGGTGTAACTTGGATGGCACGGACCCCCATGGGGCTAGGAAATCAATGTGAGGCTTCCCCATGAACCATTCTCCCTCCCCTCCCCCACCTCAAATGCACCCCCATCTCATCGCAGAGGCCTTGAGCCTGATGGGGTACACAAGTAGGTGGAAGGGCACGCACCAGGGGCTTGCCGGGTGTTGTAGGTCCGGGGCTGCTGCGAGGTGTGCCGAGGTAGAGTCGGCAGCGCGAGTGCTACGTTTTCTCCCAGTTCTCCGGCCTCAATCCGCGCGAAGAGCACTAAAACGCCTCGTTTGCGCGTGGAACGCCAAACATCGCAACGTGAGCAGCAACTTCTCTTGGAATAAAAAAGAAAATCTGACCCTTGAAACTCGGTGAGGCTCAACGGGACAAATCATTGGCACCTGCGTTGGGAGAATCATCGCCTCCAGGTGGGCTGCAAGTGTCGTGATTCGGCACAAACGAGTTGCAGCGACCACCATGCGAGAGTAATTCGCGTCCAGGCCGCTTTTGCCGCCGGCTCTCTGCGCTGCACCAACATCGCGATGCGAACGGCGGCAGGCGGTGCCGACGCAGAAACCATCGAAGTGCGACGCCGTCCACTTTCCCCGTTGCTTGCGGAAGAGCTGCTGGTCGGTCCGCGAGCCAGCACGCGTGTTTCCGCTGATAGCGCTTCTCCACTGGCATATCCGAGCCAAGCTGGAGCCGTTGGGCCGCTCTTGGTACGGATGTTTTTTTCTTTCCCTCCCCCACGACTGCCTCTTTGCCGTGCCGAGCCGGAACCAAAGCGCAAGGCAATCTGAATTTAGCTTGGGGCCAAGCAGGGCCAGGAGGGGACGGGTTTGATACACTGTGAGCACGCGGCTTCACCGCGTCGACCCCGCACGCGCGTCTCGACTCGCTCACTCGTTGGTGTCACGTCAGCGGCGCGGCTCGGCTCGGCTCCTGTAGTGGAAAAAAAACTGGACGCATCCTGATCCGATGAGCCACGCCGGCACGGCTCGGATGTGCAGTGGTACAAAGATGTTAATGTCCCTCGCCTGGTATGCAGGAGGTCATGGGTTCAATCCCAACCCTGACACCTGCTGTATATTTGTAGTTTGCATGTCTTCTCTCTCTGTCTCTCCGAGGTCGTGTGAATTTTTCTCTGGGTCCTCCGATTTTGTTTCACTCCATTTAGAAGCGTGTGTGCTTAGATGATTTGGCTGCTCTAAATGCCCACACGATGACAAGCCACATCGTTGGGCCATTATTTGTGGCCAGGACGCCTCTGAAAATGAGCTACATAGCTCAGTAGGCCTTGCCTGGTAGCACAAAATTGTTTCGTTGCGTTTGAAGAAAGTGCGGCTATAACCAACAGCAGACGTTCGACAAACTGAGGCCGTCGTGATGTTTAAATGTTGTGTATGACCCTTGTATAAAAAGCTCTAAATACAATGCACTCCACGCAGCTCGACTTTTCCATAACCACTGCTGACCACTGCGTTCCATCGCCGGAGAATGCATGCTGTAAATGTAACTGTGGTAATGTATTATATTTAATGATGCGCATGCCCTGTCGTACGTCGTTTTTATTTTGTTCTTCTTCCGAGTTATTAGCCGAGTAGTAACGCCGCGTAGCCATTTGTAGGCGATAAGATTTTAGCAACTTCCCGATAATCCCCGCGTCGGAATTCTGAAAAACGGCAACGGTTGAGAGTGGCAGCCGAGTCGGGGCTGCCGACTTGCCGGCTGGAAGGGTTGTGAGTTCAAATCCCAAGCCAGAGTTGGGGTCGACTCAGCCCATCATCCCTGCCGGGGCAAAAAAAGTGAGTACCACTTTGTGGGAATCAACAGTGCACCCATCCTCCCTCTCCCAGCTTAGGAAACGTGTAATTTCAGAGACCGTTTCATGAGAGGTGGCACGGTGGGTGCCCTGCACGTAATCTCTTGTCACTGCGCTCTCTCTCTCTCTCTCTGTCGAATGACGGGTGAGTTGATCAGCATTGGTCGTGAGTTCATGTGGAGGTTGGCGAGTGAGCGAGCCGGTGGAGCGGACGGCTTCGTGAGTAGCCTCGTGACGAATCTCGGGAGACGCTGCCACGGCGTTGGTGAGCGCTGGCCATAACTCTTTGGTTCTTTCGGTAAAGTCACGTAGGTATAAAATAAAAATTAAAAAATCACGATGTTTCGGGCGCAACACAAGCGTCCGTCATCAGGTGGGAAAGGATGGTCTGCTGCTGATGCAGACTGTTTTAAAACATGTTTTCCAACCTGATGACGGACGCTTGTGTTGAACCCGAAACGTCGTGATTTATTTTATTTTTTACTTTCTACCCACGTGACTTTACCGAAAGAACCAAAGAGTATGGATTCCTGCAGTCACGAAAGCTTCAAATCAAGATTGAGCGATGACCAGTTCAAACTACAGCATTGAAGGACGCCTTTAAGTTTTGGAGCATGCCTTGTACATTCCTGCTGCGGTTGATCGTCGTGTCGCATGTACCCGACCCCCTGTCCAGCTTGCATTCGTTACCGTGCTGCGTAATGCGCGGACTCGCGATTGCGGTAAAATATTGCGTACAATATGTCGGAGAACGATGCAGATGTTAGGTATCTTTGTTTTCTGCTGTTGACCATATATATGTGTATGTGTACTGTATAACTTAAGAGGATGACGTGTGAGAAGTCAGAGTCGATGACATTAAAATATTTAAAGAAGGAAAAGCTACTGGCCTCGGCGAAATTTACAAAAAAAAATTTCAAAAACCACATGAACATTGGCTCTACATTGACCCAACGTTGACCCAACGTTAACCCTACATTGGCTCAACATTGGCTCTACGTTGGCTCTACGTTGACCCAACGTTGACCCTACATTAGCTCAACAATGGCTCTAAGTTGGCTCTACCTTGGCTCTACGTTGATCCAACTTGACCCAAAGTTAACCCAACGTTGGCTCTACGTTGACCCAACGTTGACCCAACGTTGACATGTTTACTGGGTACGTTTCTCCCGCTCTTCTCAATGCACCCGCTGTAATCTAATCACGCTCTCTCTCTCTCTGTCGAGATGAAAGTTTAGAGAGGCATTTTGCAGAACGAGGTGAGAACTCAAGAGTTAGGCCTGGGTCACCAAATTTGAAAGAACAAAAACACCAATTCGGTTTCAGCAAGGAGAGGAACAAATGCTTTTGATCAGAACGAATGGAAAATACGCCGAGCAAAAATCGACGCTAAAGTTCAATGCATTTAGTGTGAACGAAAGTTGGCTTGGAAAAGTTTCTTTTAAGAACCTTTCTTGGTAAAGAATACATTTAAAAAATTAAGGTACAAAAACATTATTCAGGAATTAGGATGATTATTGCATGTCTGCTACGCTCCTTCAGCCGTGGAGGAGGAACAGCAAAACGACACGAACTCTCTCCCTCTCTCTGCTGAAGCCCTCTCGTCGTGGCTTGCAGCAGACATCAACATTGGCATCGAGATCATGAACCAGATTGCCATCGTACGGATTCATTGAATTGTATTTTTTATACTGGTAGGAACCCACTGGTTCCACCAGCCCACAGGGGATTATTGTGTCCGTCCATCGTGCAGGGAGGGGCTGGGTGGGGAGGGAGGGGCTGGGTGGGGAGGGGAGGGTGGGGAGGGGCTGGGTGGGGACGGGAGGGTGGGGCTGGATGGGGGGTGGGAGGGGTGGGGCTGGGTGGGGAGGGGCTGGTCACCCCGTGGTGCCCTTATAAAACTCAACGTTAAACCTACTCACGCCAGATTGTGCCCGTCCTCACAGTCGGGCATATTTGCGGAATACACCACGTCGCCGTTGACCCTGGCTATTGACCGAGCAAGCCAACGTTCCTACCAGCTCCCTCCGCAGGAATGTGTTTTTACCAGGTAAGGCCCATTGAGCGATATAGATCTTTTTCAGAAGCCACCTATCACAGATGATAGCTCAACGAGAACTGGCTTATCGGCTGGACATATATAGCAGCGAAATGCTCTAAGCCAGTGGTTCTGAACCCGTGGTGCACGCACCCACTGGGGGTGCGAGATGCCCTTTCTGGTGTGCGAGACACGGCCAGATTTTTTTTTAAGGTAAATCGTCGAAACACAAATTAAGCGAAGGCACGTAAGTTACAACTTACTTTGTTTCACCAATCCCTCTATGTATTTTTTTAACATCAATTTGTTTACGATTGAGAACCAAAGCCGTGTAAGGCTGCAGTAAGGGTTAAGAACCACTGCTCTAAACGCATGTTGTATGTATGTTGAACTTTTTTCGCACCGTACGTAGTCAACCGTACTAATCGCAGGTGTTTATTCTAAATGTGGAGTGAAAACCCGAAGGACTCGGAGAAAAATCCACGGGGAGACAGAAACGCACATTCCAAATATGCAGCAGGCGTCAGGGTCGGGATCGAGCCCACGCGCTCCCGTATACCAGGCGAGGTAAATAACATCTTGCCACCAATTTAACTGGCAGCAGACTATGAAATTGTAAAAACCAATCATTGGAAGTTCAGTTATAAAATAAACCACAATTTCGCATGAGATTTAGATGGAGGAATAACCCGGGACCCTTTTTTCAGCAATTCGAGCTGTTTGTGGCATTAAAACAGATAATGAATGTTTGAGGTCATTACCAATCAGGGTGGGGTGGGGGGAGGTTATCTATGAATGAAATCACCCTGTATAGCTTAACATCCAGTTATGATACATTATCTGTGGAAATTGGCTATGGCCCCCAAAAGAGGAAAAAGCAATTACGGTCAGAATTAACTCACCATCAAATTGGATTTTATATTTCATAGTTTGACATTTGTGAGAAATTGCTCATGAAGCGGCACGGGGCCACATCGCCGGCCTTCAAACGGAGGGACCTCGCCTGCACGTGCGTGGATGCGTGTGCTGTGTTTCACACGTGTCGCACGTGCTCTTCATTCATTAGATGCAACAGAATATGAATTAGAAACCCGCACAAATTGAACTCTAAAAGGACGTTCAGACGCGCGGGAGAATCAATGAGAGACGTCCTTCAGATTCCGAGAGAACGGCACTGGCGCCGATGTGCGGCGCAGGCAAAGAGGAAGAGGAGGAGACGACTGTAACTGCGACATTTTCAAGTTCAAGTTCATTTATTAGGTAAAGCCCTGTGAGCCATTCGGCTCTTGAATCGGGTGCAACCGCAACAAACAAAAAAACATGAACAAGAAAACATCTTAAAGTGAATATGTGACTAAGTGCAAACAGAAAATCCAAGAAAAGACAGCAAAATATTGCAGAAAAACACCATACACCAACGCTGTGCAAAAATCCCAGTGGGATGCAAGTCAAACAACAACAACAATAATCTCTATGCGAGTCTGTGGGTCTCTATGTGAGTCTATGCATCCCGATGAGTATGTGAATCTCTCTCAGCCTGTGGATCTCCTGTGAGTCTGTGGATCTATGTGTGAGTCTATGGATCTCTTTGTGAGTATGTGGATCTCTGTGAGCCTGTGGATCTCCTGTGAGTCTATGGGTTTCAGAGTCTGTGGATCTCTATGCGAGTCTATGCATCTCTATGTGAGTATGCATCCCTATGAGTATGTGGATCTCTGTAAGCCTGTGGATCTCCTGTGAGTCTGTGGATCTCTGTGTGAGTCTATGGATCTATTTGTGAGTCTATGGGTTTCAGAGTCTGTGGATCTCTATGTGAGTCTATGGATATCTGTGAGCCTGTGGATCTCCTGTGAGTCTTTGGCTCTCTGTGTGAGTCTATGGATCTCTATGAGAGTCTATGGGTTTCAGAGTTTGTGGATCTCTATGTGAGTCTATGGGTCTCTATGTGAGTCTATGGGTCTCTATGTGAGCCTATCGAGGGAGTGATTACCATACTGTGCTCAGAACCCAGCCATCCGTGTTCAGTTGCTGACGACGGCTATGGCATTCGTGGCGAATGACACGAGCATCAGCACCCTCTCTGAGCTTCCACTAGGTCGACTCAGCCGTAAATGATTACTTGGTGTCGTCCACAATCAGCACAGGGGGAGACAAAGCCGGCTGGATTCTGTGTGTCGAGCGGTGGCGCAGTGGTTAGCGCGCTGGGCGACGAACCCGGCGACCCGAGTTTGATTTCCCGCTCGTGACCACTACCAGTGACGATTATCTGAACCGGTCCAGGACCTTCCCTAGGTCGACTTGGCCAAAAATTCTTACTTAGTGTGATGTGTAAACATCGCCACGAGGGAGACAAAGGCGGCCGGGCGTGGTGCTGGCCAACCACCCCCCCTCGTGTGCCGTGCCGGCCTTCGTAGGTGCTACCCTCTGACAGTGCTTGTCCCAAAAGTCTGCGAAGGCTACACGGGGGATATTTCTCTTTGTGCATCAATTGATCATTTTGACGCAATTGTAATTGACCTTCAGATGCCCGCGATAACGGCTCAGGCTGGTTTATCATAAGCGGGATATTGAAGACCCATTATCACTGCTCCATTGGCCTAATGCGCCACCACCATCCCTGCAAACGGCCCCATCATCGCACGCTGTAAAAGCCGCCCTAATTAATGTGCAGGACACATTGCCATGCGCCGCGAAGGTGTCTTCTGTTTAATTGCCGATCCATCACGGCTCACGGGACACGAGAGAAGAGCAACAGCGTTGTGCTGTTTTGTTACACTGTGATGATAATAATGATGATGACAATAAGGACCTCGTTAACGCGGCCCTTGATATTTCAGTTTCGTGGTGCCATTCTCCTTTCACCATATCGGCAGAGTATTTTTCATTCCACGAGTAAATTCATCTCTCCAAAGTACTTTGCATCGCCTCTCCATGGGGCCCTTTAATGAATAATTTTGAGCCCAGACTATCCTTCAATACCGCCCGCGTAGCCGTGACAGCTGTTTGCGAACACCTATGAAGGCCGGAACGGCACACGAGGGGGGGAAGGCCAGCAGCTGCACTTTGTGTTATGAGTTAACCTGGGGGAGACTCAGGACCGGTTCAGATAATCGTCACTGGTGTTGGCCGTGAGCTAGAATAGAACTCGGGTCGCCAGGGTTTGCAAAATGACAACGCAATTTGCTCAATCGGAATATACTTTACGAGCAATTGTCGCCCCCGAAAAAATAAAATAATTACTTGGCAGCAGATGGACCATCCTGAAAATAAAAAGTAACGAGACTCACAAGTCAGTGAGGCTAACCTGGGTAGACAAGTGGAATGTAATACAATAAAATACGTTCTTCTAACTTTGTTATACTGGCTATGTCATCAGCAAACATGAGATGGGTTGTACAATACCTAATCCATTTATGTTTATACATTTGTATCTCCAATCTGATATTCGGAAATCGAGAATTATTAAATAGCACGAAGAAAGATTTTGACCCGTCTTTGTGAGGCTACCCCCACCGCCTGACCCCACCCCCACCCATACCGCCTGACCCCACCCACTCTTACCCCTGCTGTGTCCAGAGAAAAGGGCGGAGTCTAAACCGGAAGGGGCGGGGTCTAGATAAGAAGGGGCGGGGTCTAGCTAGGAAGGGGCGGAGATAAAAAAAAAAGAAGGGTGCTGCTGAGCCGAAAGAGGAAGGAGGTGGGGCCTAATCATGAAGGGTTGGGGCCTAAGGAGTTATGAGGTTGGGGCATCAAGACAAAAGAGCCTAAACACGCAGGCCTGGGGCCTACACCCGTTGAACGTACCTGTTGATCATACTATATTATTATTTAAAAGTTTTGCTG